TATTTTTGTAGGATATTCGGACCTCCAAAAAGGATATTGTTGTTTTGATCTCAAGACTCATAAAATGTATGTTACTCTTGAATTATCCTTTAGGGAATCCGAACCTTATTATTCAGGGGGAGACAACAACCCTACTTCTTCTCGGGGGAGATTCAACATATTAGAGAAGAAGAATTCTGGTTGTCTCCATATATAACTCATAATCCCCTGCCCTCTTCTTCAAATAGTCCCACAAGTCAAAATTTTCCTCAAAATTCTTCCCCTGAAACCTCTGAAATAACTCCACTGGATCAAGATCAAAGCACTCCTCACATAGCCGAATCACCTGTTGTGGACAGCCGTGAAATACACCCTGCATCTATTACTGAGGTAATCTCTGACCCTCCTTTAAATGTTCCAGCACCTATTGTATCAATCAGGAAATCCGAAAGACTGAACAAAGGTATACCCAAAGCAGTATATGAACCAGACCCAAAAAAAAAAGTGAAATACCCCATTAGTAGTTATGTATCATCTCACAGATTATCCGAATCATTTGATCTAACGGTTGATTAATTATCCAATGTATCCATTCCTAATAGTGTGGAGGAAGCATTAGAAGATCCTAGATGGAAACAGGCAATGGAGACCGAGATGGAGGCACTTCACAAAAATGAGACTTGGCAATTAACTCCCTTACCTAGAGGCAAGAAAATAATTGGATGCAAATGGGTGTACACGGTAAAGCTTATGGCAGATGAAAGTATTGACAGATTTAAAGCAAGACTTGTGGCAAAAGGATACACTCAAAAATATGGTGTGGACTATCAAGATACATTTGCTCCAGTGGCTAAGCTTAACACAATCTGAATTCTGATATCAGTGGCAGCCAACAGAGATTGGCCTCTAAAACAATTTGACGTCAAGAATGCCTCCTTGAATGGTGACTTAGAAGAAGAAGTCTACATGGAGATCCCACCAGGAGTAAAATTAGCACCATCAAAAGAGAATACAGTTTGCAAACTGAACAAAGCCTTGTATGGTCTTAAACAATCACCCAGGGCATGGTTTGGGAGATTCGCATTAGCAATGAAGAAGTTTGGGTATAAGCAAAGCAATTCATATCATACATTGTTCATAAAGCGCAATAATGGGAAGGTTTCTATACTCATTGTCTATGTAGATGATATGGTGTTGACATGTGATGATGTGGAGGAAATAAAACTACTTGAAAAGAGATTGGTTGCTGAATTTGAAATGAAGGACCTAGGCCAATTGAAATACTTTCTTGGAATAGAGATTACAAGGTCCAGACAAGGCATTTTTCGATCACAAAGAAAATACATTCTGGATCTCTTAGCCAAAACTGGAATGTTGGCTTGCAAGCCAATTGATACTCCAATCGAGATGAATCTCTCTAGCAATTTATCCAGATCAAGTTGAAACTGATAAGAACAGATATCAGAAGTTAGTGGGAAAATTAATCTATCTATCTCATGCTAGACCTGACATTGCATATTCCATGAGTGTTGTAAGTAGGTTCATGCACTCTCCTAGTGAACAACATATGAATGCAGTATACCGCATCCTTAGATATCTGAAAGGTTCACCAGGAAAAGGTCTCTTGTATTCCAAAAATAATAAAGCTGGTATAGAAGGATATAGTGATTCAGACTGGGCTGGAGATAAAACTACCAGGCAATCAACTTCTGGATATTTTACGTTTATAGAGGGTAATTTAGTCACTTGGAGGAGCAAGAAACAAAAGGTAGTGGCAAGGTCAAGTGCTAAGGCAAAATATAGAGGTATGGCTTACGGTATTTGTGAATTATTGTGGGTGAAAAGCATCTTAAATGATTTGGGAATCAGATATGATCAGCCTATGAACCTATATTGTGATAACAAAGCCGCAATTGATATTGCTCATAACCCAGTCCAACATGATAGAACAAAGCATGTGAAGGTAGATAGACATTTCATTAAGGAAAAGCTGGATGAAAAGATTATTCAAACTCCTTATGTAAAGTCCGAAGACCAATTGGCGGATGTGTTGACCAAAGCTTTATCAGGAAGAGTCTTTGATGAAATGATTGACAAGTTGAGCATGATAGATATCCATGCACCAACTTGAGGGGGAGTGTTGAAATGAAGTTTTTAAATTCAAAATATTGTTATATTAGTTTCTAGAATGTAATTTGATTGTTAATATCTTTAGGGTGAATTTGTTAGTTTGTTTCCTACTGTTATGGTATATTGTTATACCCACTTGTATATATAAACCTCATTGAAGAGGAAGTAAATGAAGAAAAAAACGTATTTACATTAAAAGCGTAGTTACAGTATTCAATTTCAACACTTTTCATATATTGAACATTGATATTTATATAAGCTCATAAGTCGTAATTTAATTTTATTATGAGATCAGGTACACAAAAAATCACTATAGGGTTGAAGGAAAGTTGTATTCAAGTTACCCTCAAAAAATCACTGTAGGGTTGAAGAGAGGATGAGAGAGGTGATTACCAAACCTAGATAGAGATAGAGGGAGTATGAAAACCTAGAGAGAGAAATACAAAGAGGAAATGTGAGAGAAAGAATTAGGATTATAAGCTATGAAGCACCGGCACTTCAAAATTTCTTACGTGTCGTGTCCGACACTCCGACACTTCCCGACACTCCAATACTTGTTACAAAGACTCAAAAAATTTCAAAGGTTGCGTTGCGTTGCATTTTGAGTTCTGACTATTAGATTCGTTAGATTACGATTATGATTTTATTGAGTTTAATATAAACATTTGGGCTATATTATGTTTCTTTGCAAAATTGATGGGTATTAGAAGTTTATATTTATTTTTTTGTTAAATTATTGAATACTAAATATAATATACACTATATAAATTAAAAATATTATATAATATCAAAATGTGTCCTAACGTGTCAAAATTTAATAATTTTTAGAATTAACGTGTCGGAGTGTCGTGTTGTATAGTATCCCGTGTCCCGTGTCAGTGTCGGTGCAACATAGATTATAAGGGACAATTATGTGTCATTAGATTTAATTCTAATCTAACGGTGATGAGATTGATTGTAAAGGTGATAAACTTACCTGGTGATAAGTATAATCGTCCCAAAAATGAAATAAATAAGAAGAAAAAGTTTCCATTTCTTGTTCGAGGTCCTAGTACCCATTTTTTTTTTAACAGCATTTGCTCTTTTGATAGTTGACAAAAAAAAAGAGCTTATTTAAAGTCATAGTATTTTTTTTTCGGATAAAAAGTCATAGTATATTTTATACTTTGACATCTATCTGCTTTTCTTGTTGCTATATATATTACTCGGTCAATATAATTTTTTTTTTAATTAAAGTTTAACATTCTTAGTCAGGTTCTTGTATTCGGCAATATTTCTCTGGAGTAATAAATATTAAGATCATCCATGTATGATTAACCAATTGTGTTATATAGGCATCAAATTATTTAGAACTGAGTGAATATTATATCAAAATGAAATTTTAATTTTCCAGGTTTCTATATAACTCAATTAAAACGTTATCTATAGATATTCTATACTTCTTAAAAAAATATTGTAAATAATAAAAATGAAATTTGAAGCCATTAATTAATGAGAATTTTTATTAATTGTGTATATATTTTTTCCACCTAAAACAATTCTAGACCTGCCGTTAGCGATGTTGCAAAGTATTTTTTTTTCTAAGTATATGTTATAAAAATTTACATTTTGAATAAATAATTTGATTTAACATTGTTTATATTTCACAATCAAGAGAGGAAAATAAACTGCATTAGATTATATTAGATTTGATTCCATGTTACTAAACAAGAAATTAGGTGCATGCAAAGTCCTAGAATAGATGTAACCTTTGATACCTAAGTTATTTGTCCTTACACCACGAACCACGATCATGTGAAATTCCATTTTGTATCCTTTGTGCGCTTGTGAACTACATCAAACTCAAGGATCACGGGTATAGCCGCTTAATGTTTTGGCTGCTGCTATATAAAGACTAGTCTTTTCTCTAGTTTCTTAATGCTCGTCAAGAAGAACTCAACAACTAACCCATGTATCCACACAATAAAAATTGGGTTTTTTTTTTTAAATTATTTTAGATAACTTTATTTAATATTCACCGAAACGATGTTATTTTGAGACAGAATCATGATGTGTTTGTAATTTTAATTTATTTCAGGGTTATAATAATATTTATCACTCTAATTTTTTAATTTTTTAATCTCAAAACAATGTCATTTTGGTGAACATTAGATAAAATTATCTAAAGTAACATTAGATACTTTTTCCCCTAAAAATTGTATAGTCACGTGCAAACAAGATTCAAGTCAATCGAGTTTTCTCTTGTGCAACATTTTCCTTTTTTTTTTTTTTTTTGCTGAACTTATTTAGTAAATTTAACGTGGGAGTTATTAATCTTAAGTCAAGTTGAAACAATGTTGTGGGGTCCATAATTTAAAAAAAAAAAAAAAAGAACACAAAATTCTATGGATGTGCAACATAAAACAATTATTTTACGTGACATAAGATAACTATTTCCCATTTAATTTCACATAAACAAAGCTTTGCCAAGCTTCTTACACTAAATTGGAATAAACGTGTACAGTGTACAAACAGTTAAACATATAGGTTTCAATGGGTCATCAGCATAAACATAAAAAGGTGCATTTTCATTTAATAAATTTTCCTTTTCCACTTAGTAGAATGTACTATTTAAATGATTAACGAAGTCTTGGTAGAATACCAACTATACCTTCCGTACCAAATTCAACTCCATGCAAAAACCCATCTTTGAAATGAGCATCTGACAGCGAGAAAAGTTGCTATTGCCGGTTGGAATTGGCAAGCTAATTAATTTGTTGAGAACAGCCAGTGTGTTCTATACACGACAGGGATTAATTAACCATGTCCCTTAAATGCTCAAAGAAGTAATGATCATAAATATATAAATAAAGTGAATGTGGTTTTGGGGGTTAGGTAAAAGAATTGAGAATTTAAGGAGTTGGGTTAAAATCAGTATCAATAGAGAGTTGGCCAAAAATGTCATGACAGGATCCCCACTTCCTTTTTTCCCTAGCTTCCCAGTATCCACCAACATAACGGTAATTAGGATTGCTTCCTTTTCCCTTAGCAAACCACCTTGGTTTCCAACCCCTTTCTTGCATCATCCGTGCCTGGCAATTATATATGGTAAGGCTTTTTATTAATGAACATGACATGAACATATTAACCAGCATGATGCATCTCATTATAGGACAGGATCCAATGAAATTTCAGATGCAACAATTGTATTGTACCTGCCGCTGTCTTTGTTCCAGCCGCAACTTCTCAGAATTGGCCATTTCATGCTCTCCATTCTCCAAACACCTTTGATCAGGTCTTAGTCTCGAATCTGTTGGAGGCAACTTCTCCTGTTTGTTAACTCAAGATGTCAGTGCTAACCACATATACAGGACTCTGATCATACTCCATAGGGTTTTGTGAAAGCAGAAGGGAAGGGATTAAAAACACACCCTCTTGAATCAATATAAAACCAGTTACCTCTAGTCCAGGTGTGATTTCATTTAATGTAATGGCAAATTGTGTAAGGTTATATCTTGTTTGGTGTTCGGGTGGCTGGCTCCGCTTCCACAGAAGTTGTGGTTTTGATGCTACATTGGACCCTTTTCCTTTACCAGAATTCCCTCCAATTACACAATACAAGCTCTCATCCCACTTCCCAAATAGATTTGCCACTGTTCTACCTTTCTTATCTTCCAATATGCCGTGAACCTGGAACAGAACTTAAATTAGAGAGCATAAAGTACATAACTTATATATGGAGTATAGATAACAGAAAAAGTTATGCAAGTCATATTGTGACCTTGTAATAGAGAGAAGCCATTGAAGAGCTTCTCGAAGATCTAAAGATATTATTGATGATAACAGATACACAGTGAGAGCTCGATATATATAGGGCTAGAAGCTGACTCAACATAACAAACTAATCATAAAAGAAATAATCAGGTGCATCACACACCTGGAGCAAACGAATAGACGGGGGCAAATAACCAATAGTAGTAAAACTAACAATATAATAAAACAGTAAACTAAGCAAGCATTTATATGCTAATACCTTACATCTCTATAGTATATAATAAAAAAAAAATCTGCAGATATCTAACTTAAATGGAGAACGTGAATTCATTTGATTCAGCAAGATAGAAGAAATGTTGAAAAAACTACAACTAGGCTTGATTTTAAGGGAATCAAAGGATTCAGAACAAATAGTGACATTGATACAAGTCAGTTGAAATTAAAATTAAGGCTTCTTTAATTTAGATTTGTATTGCAGCAATTTTTTCTGCTTCAGTCAAACTGGTGTATGAGGCCTTCAACAAGCTAAAACAAGTAGTCCATTACTTGGCAACCTTAATTGTCTAATGCAATTATCATCAACAACAAACAAACAAGGAATGGAGTGTATATACAAAACATGGAGAGGGGATACAGAACATGAGTTCATAGGTTGGCTATCAGCGACTATAAATGAATTACATTGGTTCGATATGAAAAAAACAACATAATATAACTTTCTACTTTAAAATGCAATTCTTGTCAGAGAGTAACAAGTGGCACACCTCATATTATGAAAAAATCTTAATACATTTTTTATCCATTCATGATCTTAAAGGAACCAAATAAATAAATGTAATAATAAGATATACAAAGGGCACCTGGTGAGGGTTTCTATCAATGATTGACTGCTCCTTGAATTTGATCTTACATGAATACTCACGGTTCCCCTCTACCCGCATTGTGCCATAATGGTCGGAGTAGAGTTTTCCTAAAATGAGGTTGTAAATGGATGTGGTTACCTGATAATAGAATATTAATTAGCTAATGAGCATCTTGGAAGAGATTGGTTAAGTACTACTAATGTCAAGCCAAACTCTACCTTGCTCCAACGAAAGACTTCTCCATCATCAAATTCCAGAGTCAATATACCAACAGGATCAAGCTGAATTGAACGACCCCAAAATTTACTTTTTAAATCGCTGTCACCCCAAAATCTCCAGCCACTGCCCTCACAATGGCAAGCAATAATCATGGGGTGATGACTGACCTATCTCAAGACGAATAGTGTAAGTATATTACTTCCAACCACCAACACTTTACACAGAGAAAAATATGCCAAATTATTCATATTTCTATGACTTAATATCACAAAGGATTCAAAAAGAATGGACATGGAATTATATAAATGCAAATAGCATCCCCACAATTTTCAAAGGTAACCGATTGTTGAAAAGGAAAAAAAAAAAAAAAACTTCACAAATGGGAGAGAGGAAAGTGAGCTGCTAAAGTAAAGAAAAAAGCAGGAGAGTAAAAAGTAGATGGCAGTAATTTATGACTTCAGATAAGTGAGATTTGAGTACAACTTTTTTAACATAATAACATGAATGTTTTTAGAAAAGGAGATAACAGAAGAGAGTTTGAACTAAGCCAAATTATGTGCTTTGGTTAGTTTACTTATATTAAAATAAATTATAATATAAACTCTATTGGAAATAAAAAAAAGAAAATAAACAAACTCATCCATCCTATGAGTCCTCTTTTAGTAAAGAAATCAACAAATTGAAATTGACCAACTATTAGTATTAGACTACCCAGTAGATATTATGTTGGATATTTTGCTTTTCTTTTTCAACAAGTAGTAGATGTTGTCTTTATAAATGGACGATTTTTCATCAACAGCATGATATAAAATTGTACCTTCTCGGAGATAAAGCGGATGCCTTTGTCTGGATACTCTGCCTCATATGTCTCACCCAACAGTGGATTAAATGGTTTGCAACTTCTACCACTGGTGCTAGCATACCCTGAAACTGCAAATGCAGCCACATGTAGTGCCCTCATTAAACTGTTTCCCTGAGCATAAGTACCATGAACGTGAGAGATGTATTACAGAAGAGTTCTTAAAACTTTAGGCTACAACAATTAGTGAATTATGCCAATAACTACATAGCAATATTTTGCAAATACATAAACTAACCATTTTACCCCATTCATAAGCTTGGTCTAGAAGGTAAGAGTACTCCAGATCTTCAAAACATTTCTGCAATGAGGATAGAGGTTCATTAAAGTAAACTGGAAGACAAACTTTTGTAAGATCCTTTCCGATATTATCTTTTATTATTGACCAAAGACCAACTCCATATTCTTTCTCAACGGGATCAGGCAACTTCTTTCGTCGTTTGATATGAGGATAGTTAAATCCAACAGATCCTATAGGAGACTTTGCATCATATTTGCCTATTGGACTAGTCTCCTCATGTTCAGATCCATTACTTCTAACAGAACATGTTGACAGAATTTCACATGTATCAAAGAATGCATCATGGTCTTCATCAGAGTGATCATGCCTATCGTGCTCATCAGAATAATCACTAGCACTTCCATCTGTCATATAATAAAATAGTAAAAAATAATTTAAGATGTGTAAAGAAGATGTGCTAGTTAAAAAGCTTCAATCAGATTCATTCAAATAACACTGCCAATATTTTACATGCATGTACCTAACCTCGGTAGAGACACACAGAATGGAGTATGGTTTCAACTTACCACTATATGTTTCATGCGTTGATAGATAGGGATCCCCATCATCCTTTGATTGCATTTGGCCTTCAATAAGGGTGTTCTCCAAGTCAACCTTCTCTTCCTAGAAGAGACAATGGATTAATTGAAACAAATATAATATTAACCATCATCATTATACTTAGAAATTAGAAATCATACATCAAAATGGTCATGGCCTCATGAAGTACCTCTAAATGGCGCAGAGTATCCATGAGTAGCAACTGCTTGTGCTTAAGGGCTACAACATGTTTATGCATTTGGGAGAGCTCAGCTCTCATGATGTCCTCACTTTCCCTAATAGCAGCCTCATTCACACCCTCCTGTAAAAGCCTCTGCCTCAACTTGTCAGTTGAAATCACCATCGACATCACAGGAGACATAATCTCTGTATTTGGCATTCTAGGATACATGTCCTTCACAGCCGTCATTGCTTCCACCCACATTGCCCTATCTTCCCTACTCTCCGCCCTCAAATGCAACCTCTTCTTTGTCCCTGTACCTACAGAAAACCTCCTCTCATCTGACCTGCTCTCTCTCACCGAACATACCTGCATAAAATTCCCATGCAAAAATATAAACAATTAACCCCATTTACCATGCCAATTTTTTGTCCCATTCAAATTCAACTTTCATTATCTTTTGTTCATTCTAAATTTGACTGATTCTCCTCAAGCTGTGGTGTACTATTATAGGGGCAGTGGTGAAGAGTCGCCCCCCTCAGGTTCGTACAAACCTTTCATTTACCTTATTCAAACTTTTTTTTTTTTTACAAACTATGCTATCTTGAGAACACTGGGTTTCGTTATATTATCTTGGGGAAGAAAATAATATAATTTGTAAAAAGAAATTGTAAACGGATTCTTCTATATATATATATATATATATATAGTGTCAAATTTGACACCTCATCTTAAGGGCCGTTAGATCAAAAAAGATTAACTATTCTGATTTACAAACATGTGACACCATTGATCTTTTTCGATCTAAGTACTATAACGAAGTGTCAAGTTTACAATTTGACATGTTATATATATATATATATATATATATATATATATAGATGTTATGATATCACTTTAAGAAATAACTATTTAAAAAACCATGAGAATAATTGTTTGAGTGAGAGAAAGACCATGAGGTGGACTTCGCTGACGGGTTTGCGGTGGCGCGAAGGGCAATGGCGGTGACTGGCGATGCGGCGGAGGGACTCTCCGCCGATGACCTTTGACCCGGTCTCGACTTCACCGTTGAGGACGAGCTTATCGGGGCCGTGAATCTTGAAATAAGAGAGGACGCCGTCGTGGAGGACGAACCACCTCGGGCGCCACCCTCGCCCGTAGTTAACCCACTTGTACAAGATGCCGGAGATTCCGTTCCCGACGATGTCGTTGAGCATCACCTCGCGCGTGGTGTTCTGGCGAGAGAACCTAGCCGACGCGGAGCGCTGCACGGCCTTGAGGCTCGAGGAGGAGCGTTCGGGGCCGCGGGTGCGGCTGCAGGTGGAGAGGGACCGGAATGTAGGCGGCGTCGCGGGCGGCATGTGGCGAACCTCCGATGACGACGATAGGGATGAACCGGAACGAGGGGTTCGCGCTGAACCGGGTTCGTTGGGGTTTTGGGAGCTACGAAAGGAATGCATGACATCAATTCGATAGGGTGAGGATGGCTGATGAGAGAATGAACATAACTATGTCGCAAAAGAACCTCTGTTGTGTTTACCGGGAAAGCGTGTTCTTAGCAACCAAACCATGCAAGGGTGGCTCGTAGTGAAAATCGCCCAATATTTTTTTTTTCCCATTTTTTTTTTTTGGTGAATTATTTTTCTATTTTTTAATTGGAGCAGATTGTATTTACAAAGTTTTTTGTTTACAAATGTTCTTCCGCGAGCCCGCGAGAACATAGTGTAATTTGTAAAAAAAATTAAAATTTTTTTGTAAACGGATCCGTCCCTTTTTTAATTATGTTCTAAAAATAAAATATATATGTTTTTGTTTGTACTGATTTTGAATTTTCTAAACATTTCAGCATTTTGTTTTCATTGCAGTTAAAATATTTCTAAATATAACTCAATGAATGTAACTCAATTGACAATGTAACATAATAGAATGAAGAAATAGTTGAGTTTAATTTTTATCAAATATATCTTTGAAAAGCATGTAAAACTTTAACCGTAACTAAGTCTTCACTCAAGATTAATATTATTGTTCATTCAAAGAGTTGAAATTTATGAAAATATTCGAGACCAACCCGTTTTAAATAAATAATTAAATTCGATATAAATGAATTTTTAAATATAAAACTCATCGTACCATTACATAATAAATTAGAGAAGTGTTATATTGATAAAAAAAAATTTACAAATTTATAAATTAAATTATGTTTGTCCGATAAAACTTCATTCAAGAACTTTTTACTGGTTAGACATAGTATAATTTGTAAAAATTTATAAACAAAAAATTTATAAATATAACTCGATAAACTAAATTATTTTTAGGCGTAGTTGAATGAAGGCCTAAATGGGGAAAGGGAAAAGGATAAGTGAAAACATTAATTGGCAAAATCAAAAGTATGAAGAATGGGTGAGAGAATCAAACTCTTCCGGAAACTCCGCCGTAGACAAGGAGAGTAACGGTTGGAGCTCGTAGACTGGAATTAAGGAGTTTGACTGACCGCCAATAAAGATGTAGATATCTTTTTCGCTCTGACTCTTTATTAGTGTTGACGTGTTGTTATCATTAGTCAATGAAATATTTAGACATTACGATGTGCATCACAAATTTTTTGGAATCAATTTATTTTTTTAATTTCTCTTCCCGGAAACAGAAATGAATAGAAAACTCGTTTGATAAAATTGATTTATTTTTTTGTTTTCGGATGAACCTATTCAATTTTGTGCTAGGGAGCAGAAAAAAGAATAAAAAAATTTCTGCTTTTTTTTATTCCCGGGCACAAAATGAGAAACATTTATTTCTCTCGATCACTCTCCACCACCATCATCATCATCACCACAACTATCATCCCGACACGACCACAGCCACTATCGTCGTCGTTGTACCACCAATGCCGTCGTCACAACCATCACCACCATCACGACGATGCCACCGCCACCATCGTCGTCGCCATTGTACCACCAATGTCGTCGTCACAACAACCACCACCACCACCACGATGACGACGATGTCATCGCCACCACCTCCACCACGATGACGACGATGTCATCGCCACCACCTCCACCCATTGCCACCATCATCACCACCATGCCACCGTCATCACCACCACCATCGCAGCCACTACTATCACCATCATCACCATCGCCACCACTACTACCACCACCAACACCAACCACCATTACTATCGCCGCAACCACCGCCACCAACCACCACCACCATCGCCGCAACCACTACCGTTACCACCAACACCACCATTAACATAATCATCGCCGCAGCCACTGCCGTCAATACCACCACCGTCACTACCACCACCACCACCACTGTCGCCGCCACCATTATCACCACCACACCGCCACTATGCCATCACCATGTCATCGCCACTGCCACCACGCCACCATTGTCGCAGCCATGTCGTCACCACTATCACCATGCCATCACCAACACCACCATGCCACCATTACCACGCCACCAACCACTGCCGTCGCCATCGCCGCAACCACTACCGTCAGCACCACTATTGTCGCAGCCATTGCCGTCAGTACCACCATTGCCGCCACCACCATCGCCACCATTACCACCACCACGCCGCCGCCACCACCACTACCACCATATGAAAAGGAAAGTGATGATCCGAAAAAAATTTAAGCTTAATAGAAATTATTTTTTATTATATTATTTGTTGTGTTATCAAACGCAATTCTCATTCTCAAAATAAAAATAGAACATGTTATCAAACACTTTTTTTTTTCTCAAAAACTGTTCCAAGGCAAAGAAATAGAAAAGAATTGTTTCTTTTCAGAAACAGTGCCAAAGAACAAAATGATTGCCATGCACACCCTATACCTAAAAGTTATTATCACGAGTACCATTCTCTAAAAAAGAATAAAAATAAAAATCACCAAGAGGTTTAAACATGTGTCTCGCCTTCCTAAGCTAGCCCATTGGACCAGCCTTCTGAGTAGCAATAGGGAGGAGTAGGGGTGAAAGTGGATTAGGCTAAACCGAGTTTTGTCCCAAAAAGTAAGTCCATATCAAAAAATTTCAATTTGACCTGACCCGATAGCATAGTATAAGTCTAACTATTAGCCTGACCTGACTCATTTATAAAAATAAATGGCTTGTCCTGACCCGTTAGCATGTTAATTTTTAACTTTCAAGCAGGATATTAACCAACTTCACAAAATACTCAAATTTTGTTGTTAAAACAAAAATAACAATTTAAATGTTCAAACAAAACCATAAATCACAACAACAACTTATCACAATCTGCATTTAAGTCACTTTTAAAAGCAAGATGCCCAAACTAAATAAAAAATATTTCATCAGATCCAATAAATCAATCTAGACTATGTAAATTAAAATAACTGAATGAAGGAAGTACTAGCCCGTTTTCCTCTCCGGTGTTACTGGTCCGAAAGAAGGACGGCTCGTGGAGATTTTGCGTAGATTATCGCGCGTTGAACGTCATTACATTGAAGGATTGATTCCTCATTCCAACCACTGACGAGCTCTTAGATGAACTCCACAGCGCACAGTGGTTCTCGAAGTTGGATTTGAGCTCGGGGTACCATCAGATTCGCATGGACCCATCCGACATTGACAAAACGGCTTTCAGAACACACGATGGGCACTACGAGTTTCTGGTCATGCCTTTCGGCCTTTGTAATGCGCCAGCAACATTTCAATCAACCATGAATAGGTTGTTTCGTCCTTTTCTTCGTCAATTTGTGATTGTTTTTTTGATGATATTTTGGTTTATAGCAAAACAGAGGATGAACATGTGAAACACTTACGACAAAATTTTGAGTGTTTACTGCAGAATCAATTTTTTCTCAAGAAGTCTAAGTGTTCCTTCGCACAACGCTCCATTGATTACTTGGGTCACATAATTTCCAAAGGGGGCGTCGGGCCTGACCCATAAAAAATTAGAACCATGGTAGAATGGCCTTTACCTACTACCTTGAAGCAGCTGCGCGGTTTTTTGGGTTTAATTGGGTTTTATCGAAAGTTCGTCCAACGTTATGCTACCATTGTTGCCCCCTCACCGACATGTTAAAAAAGGATGCGTTTGAATGGACTGAAGAAGGCCGTCAGGCGTTTGATAACCTCAAAGTGGCAATGACACAGGCTCCCGTTTTACGTCTCCCTGACTTTGAGTCAGAATTTGTACTGGAGACAGACGCGTCCGGTTTGGGAATGGGTGCTGTTCTTTTACAATAAGGACACCCGATTTGTTTTTTCAGCAAGAAATTTTGTAACCGGTTGTCAAAGGCGTCTACGTACGTCTGAAAGCTGCACACCATAACCGAGGCAGAGCTAAGATGGCTGCCTTATTTGCTGGGGAGACACTTCACAATCCACACTAATCAACGGAGCCTGAGGGAACTCATGACGCAGATCATTCAGACTCTAGAACAACAGTACTACTTGTCCAAACTCTTAGGGTATGATTATACCATTGCGTATAAGCCAGGTGCATCCAATCGAGTTGCTGATGCCCTCTCGCGCATGGACGTTCCGTCTGCAGAATTGCTAGTCATCACGGTGCCCCAATTCGAGTTCATTTCCAAGATGAAGGAATCCTATCACAGTGAGCCTGATGTGCAACGAATTTTGCAACAATTGGAAACTGACCCTCATTCTCATCCTCACTTGAGGGTCGTGAAAGGGGTGCTGTTATACAAAGACAAGATTTCTATTCCGTCCAATTCCCCACTTAAACAGTTGCTCTTACTGGAGTTCAATGCCTCTCCTTTGGCTAGGCATATAGGAATCAACAAGACCATTGCGCGTTTACAAGAGAATTTCTACTGCCAGGGTATGAAATCTGATGTAGTTACTTTTGTGAAATAGTGTCTGGTGTGCCAACAGGTAAAATCTTCTACTCAAGCACCAATTGGATTGCTGCAACCAATTGAAATCCCTACATGCGTATGGGAAGACGTGTCCCTGGACTTCATCGTGGGGCTTCCTTCTTTCCAAAATCACACAGTGATCTTAGTGGTGGTCGATCGTTTTTCTAAAGCGGCGCATTTTGGGATGCTCTCTACCCATTTTACAGCAGCCAAGGTGGCAGATATGTTTGCTCAGCAGGTTTGTAAACTACACAGTACGCCGAAGAGCATGATCTCAGACCGCGATCCCATATTTTTGAGTCGCTTTTGGCAAGAGCTCTTTAAATTCAGTGGCACCAAGCTATGCTTATCCACTGCGTACCACCCCCAAAGCGATGGACAGACGGAGATAGTTAATCGCACGGTCCAGCAATACCTTCGTTCCTTTGTTCATGAGCAGCCTCGTCTGTGGGGAAAGTTTCTTCATTGGGCTGAATGGTGCTATAACACCACCGTCCACTTGTCGACTGGTATGACGCCTTTTCAGGTTGTCTATGGAAGGGAACCCCCAACTATCTCAGCTTATACTTTGGGTAGCAGTTCATTAGAAGCTGTGGAGGCTGAGCTCGAAACAAGGGAGATGATCCTGACCAAGCTTAAACACCGTTTGTTGAAAGCTCAAGAGAGCATGAAAAGGTCTGCAGATCAACACCGATGACATCATGAGTTCAAAGAAGGGGATTGGGTTATGGTGTGACTCAAACCATACCGTCAAACGTCAGTGGCAGGAATTCGTTCCCAAAAGCTAGCTAAACGTTTCTATGGCCCATATCAAATTGTGCGTTGTATCAACCTAGTGGCCTTCGAGCTGGACTTACCAACAAGGTCTAAGATTCACCCTGTTTTTCACGCATCTATGCTTAAGCCTTTTCACGCTGCTAATGCAAGTGTCCCTGATCAGCTGCTGCCTCTACCGGCTGAGGCCATCGACAATAAACTCATTGTTCAACCCTTGAGCGTGTTAGATGTGCAACCGAGATCTGAACCTAATATGACTAATGTAACGCCCGGCCGCTTCAATAATCAATGACAATCCCCACATATTAACACGAGACTTTTCAGTGTGCTTTTTCCTCACTCGCACACTTCCTGGGAAAACTTCCCAAGAGGTCACCCGTCCCAGAATTGCTCCAAGTCAAGCACGCTTAACTATGGAGTTCTTCCGTTCTGGGCTACCGAAAAGCAGACGCATCTTGTTTTTATAGGTAGTACCAATTAATTCTTATAAGCTATCCCAAACTGTGCAGTCTCATACCTGCAGAGTCTTTGGAATCTCTCTCTTTCGGGTGTCGATTCGATTCATTCATGCATGTAACCCCTCGCTGGAAGCCTGTCAGGAGCCGCTCCTTGTCCATGCCTCTTTGCACCGGCGATCACTCCCCGCCCTCGTTAGCGCTCGGGATGTTACAACTAAGGTCTTAATCCAATGGTAAGGCTTGTATCCAGAGGATGCTTCTTGGGAATTGTTGTCTGATGTGCAGAACGTGTACCCTGACTTCCACCTTGAGGACAAGGATTGTCTTGATGGGGTAGGGGATGTTATGAGCCCACAACTTGAGGAATCTTTGGGCTAGGATGCTGTAAGCATGATCTATGCAGATGGGGACATAGACGAGGCTGTTCCAGAAGATGGGCTGGATCAACAAATTACCCCACTAGCTAGGTGGGCCAAACGTCAGAAGAATAAGCCAAAGTGGATGCATGACTATCATGTGGCTTAGGATGAGGGATGTTGAATGTTCTAGAAGGATTGCATTGCTGTAATAGTTAGTTAGCGAGAATATCGCTACATTGTTAGCAGCTGGCCGTCGTTTATTTTCCTTGCATTCTGTTATGCTTGTTGAAAGAGGTGGTGATCACCTGACTGTGTATAAAGGCACCATAGTTCTTCCATTAATGAATAAGCAATCTTCAGTATTTCTTTGTTAGTGTTTCTTTGTATTTGAAGGAGGTCCCTCACCCTCGAAGTGAGGTTTTATCATACAGACTCTAAAATAATTTTTTAAAATCCTAATCGAATACCATGTGATTTTTTTTCCATCCATTAAAATCCGAATTGAATACCAATAGATTTTTTTGTCCAAAAATAATTCATTAAAATTCTTTGAAATCTCAATCTAATACACCCCGTAACTCTAATATCATAGGTGTTAGATGGGGACATATTAATTATTTTCTATGTTTTGTATTTCTCTAACACATAAAATCATTAAAAATGATGATGAATCTTTTGAAATTGAGACGATAAATATTTTTGCAAACTTATTTTATATAAACACCGACATATAAATTTCAAATTATGTATATTAATCCAATATGTTGTTTACATAATTCTTAACGTTCGACGCACATAACTGACATAAGTGATCTCTCTGTCTAACATTAAATTATGGAAAGCGTATTTGTCCTTTTAAGTGACATAACTTATATCATTTTACTCTCATAAAGAGATGATATCCATACTTTTATATTTTTTTTGTCCACTTTCTCTTCTCCTTTATCTATCTCTTTCTCTCACTTAAAATGACACAACTTTACATCCTTTAAGATGATACACACTTTTCTCTTATAGTTTATTATTTAGAAAAATATTATATTTATAAGTTTTTGTTTATAAACTCTTCTAGTTTACTTATGTCTTACTCTTGCTGATAAAATATTCTTGAATATAATTTGTAAGTTTATAATTTTTTTTTATCAATATAACAATCTTCCTTAGGAAAATATTAAGTTAGTGAAGAGTAAAATTATGTACAATATTCGTATTCTTGAATAATAGAATAAATTAAACAGTGTTTCCCACAAGGAGGGAGAGGGAGACTTGTTCGCTAGGAACAGAGAATATACAAAAAGGAAGATCCTTCTTCTCTCTTCTCTCACTTTCTCCATACGCATTCTTACTTCCAACAACATTCAACATTTCTCACTGTAAGATCCTCTCTCTCTCTCTCTCTCTCACACACACCCACACACCAACTTTTAATACATTTTTTTTTTGTTTTTACTCAAACTGTTACTATTTTGGTTCTGGCGGGAACTGAAATTTTGCGCCGTTTTCGGTGATTTTAGCTTAATGCGTCGCTTATATAGACTTTATTGTCGTGCTATTATTATTTTTCATTTCAATTTTTGTCTTAGAGATCTTTGTTGGTTGGTTTTGTGTCGCATCAGCTTATCAATTTTTTTATCCTGGGAAATGGTTAGGGTTTCTGCTTCAGAGACACGAAGCTATGATAAATGATTTTGAATGACAATGAGATTGAGATGCAGTTCAAAACATGTTTAGAGTTGTGAGAGTGTCTCTGCTTATTTTCAATGACTTCGTTTTCATTTAAAAACAAAGTTCACATTTTTTATGTTTTTTTTCCTCCCCAACATAAAGTGCAAGCACAGTCTAGTTAAGCTACTTTAGTACTGAGGTAGCTTCGAATTATAATTCATTGCAGTGGCTTCTGTTTTGCACTTTCTTATAGCTTGTTCAGGAATTGTAAGATCATATCACTTAAAAGGGTTCTGTTGTGCTGAATTCTCAATGAGGGGTTCTCTATTTCTTCTCTCTGTCTGACAGGAACTGAGGCTTTATTTCAATGCCTCTTTTGAGGAGAAAGCCTTTTGCCTTGGCTGAGCCACCTAAGGATTTGGAGCCAACTGAGACTGTTTATCAAATTCGGTTTACGAAAGAAATATTTCGAGATTATCAGTATCCTTTGTTACTCAGCTGTATTTTTCAAATTGGAAGTGGTTAAACAGGATTATTAGTTTCTGTGATTTAGCTTTTTCAACTATCTCGAAAATTCACTGATGGTATTAGTCTTTAGCATTCCATTCTTGATGAGAATACTGCTTAGTATTCCTTAACATGAATTAGTGAATATTTGAACCGGATAAATCTATACCGCCAGAGGGTTTGGATGTGCAAAGTCACTGGAAAAACTTGCTTGACTTATGAAGGCGCTCTGGTGTCAGAAAAATATGCAACTGAGAAAGTTCAACAGTTTCCTAAAGAATTAATGGCACCTGCTCTAAGGATTATTCAGTACAGTAAGTACTATTCAGTTCTCAAATGAAGTGTATGTTGATAAAATGATGTGTCTAATTTTTTTTTTTTTTTTTTTTGTCTTTATGGCCTGATATAGATTATTTCCTTTTGTTCTGCATGGGTGATTCTAAATTTCTAATGTTGTCTGCATTTGGTGAATTTAAATTTACTTGGTTTCATAAAATATCTTTCAATCTGCTGAGTCTATAAGAATGCATAGTTGTTAAAAACTTAATATCCGGTATATACATGCTTGTGTCAGAAAGTAAGATGCTTGCGAAGTACATTGTGTGCAGATGCACTTGTAATGGGATGTGTACATTGAAATCCACAGTCAGACTTGTCACTTGAAGGTGTGACGTTGCTTACTTGAATGGTTGAACCAAAGTGTCATACTCTTTTGATAATTTGATCCACTAATGGTATTCGAAAATCGAAGGAGAAAAGGAAGTAGCTTTAGACTGTACATTCTACCCTGCTCTGAAGTTTGGGATTCCTATGTTGTCTGAGTTTGTGGTTGTCTAGTGTCTACCAAAGGTTTCAAATCAAGTGTTCCAATTTTTGGTCAGGAAAGTAGCCTATCAATTTGCAACTTACTGGTTCAATGCATGTATTACCTTTTACTGGTTGTTTATAAATTATGATATACTGAGCCTTATGTATAGCACCTATGTGGATCAGGTTGGAGATGAGTAAGCTTTGGCTAATTAGCAGATATTTTATTGCATTAATAGATTACTGTGTTGCTGGCAAAACAAACCATACAATTTTATTTAAGCTTGCTTGTGTATATCCAGTTGGACCATCACCAATTTGTTTTGGTAGACGAAAGTTTTGGGGAGGGGAATTTGCCTCATTCCAAGGTTAGGACATGCCACATGCTTTAGTGCGGGCTTAAAAGTGATACTTATAGATGACCTGCTATTTGGTCATAGAATGCTGTGCAACAAATGAAAGAGTTTGCGAAATTCATCCTATGTTTTATAGGCAAGCCCTCGGTACACAAGGTTCCCCAATTTTGCGAGGGTAGGGGTGCGGGTCTATTGTATGCATTTTTACCCTTGTATTTCTGCAAAGAAACTGTTTTCTAGATTTGAATCCATGACCTTCCGGTCACAAAGGAGTAACTTTACCATTGCTCCAAGACTCACCCTGATCCTATGTATTATGGATGATCATAAAAAAAAAAACTTTTGGTTTTCTTTGAGAAATTCTTGCAATTATGAGTATTGTTCTTGATTATCTACCTTGTGTGACGTATATGTTAATCCTTTATGTTATATTAGGTTAATACTTCTGGCAGCACTTACAGAGTTTAACTTGAAGCAATTGGCCGATGCCTTAACTTTTCTGGAGTTAAACTTCTTAAATTGAGTGTTTGAAATCCTTTAAAGGAAAAAATGAAATGAACTTTAGAATGTTATGGCGAACTTGAAAGTTGAAACTACAAAAGCCATTCTTATTTAAGAATAGTTATATAAAAATGTTTTTGGGGCATATGTCAGGTGTTGATTCAAGTTAGATTATACTGTTACTTTGCTACTGATCAGAGTGCCTGTATTATTTTTCATTCTATAATCCAAGTGATCTTTTATTGTTGCAGGTATGCTCCCTTTGAAGGATCTTGCTGATTCTATTGCTGAAGAATTGCAGGAGCGGTTGTTTGTGGGTGCTGAAGTTTATGGGAAAAAGGATAATGGAGCACATCCATGCAAAATATTGAAAGTCTTGCAGGAAGGTGGTAACAAAGTCCGTTACGAGGTAGCTTGGCTTGACAAAAACAATAATATAATTGAAAGAACAGAAGTCAGCTCTGAAGATTTGGTACAGAAGAAGCTGCCTTTTAGTAGAAATATGTTGAAGTCTTTTATCCGTGAATCTACATATCGCAATGCTCCTTGGGTTTTACATGATAAAGTGGCAAAAAATCATGGAATCTCAACTGACATTCCAGAGGAGTTAAGAGGAAGGATTTTCTTCAACAATGGACTTTTAGTCTGCAGCAAGAAAAGAAAAAATGAGGTAGATAGAAACAGGGAGGTGGTAGTTTCAGCTTCTTTTTGATTCCTATAATTTTTTTTTTAAAAAAAAAATGATCTGAGAAAGAAACATTACAAGAACACAGGATAGATATCATAATTTATAGATTATAATCTGTTGTAAATAATAATATTATTTTATTTTAAATAGAAAAGTTGTATTCTAGAATCTTTTTTGGGCTTAGCCCATTCGGTTATTTAGTCTCTTTAAATAGAGAGCTCTTGTACAATTGTAACACACAATTTTCACATAATACAATCCTACTTTTTAAGTTGGTATCAGAGCTCTCGATCCTGAGGGCTCTACTTCCGCAACTATCGCCTTTAGAGCCAAACCTTATTTGTTTGCCTCTCGCCGCCACTAGCTGCCATTGGAAATTTTTTTCCGAGGACCTTTTGGACCAAGAAGACCACGATTTGACCCTGTTTTTCCAGATCTATCAATCCATGGACGTTTCCCAGTCACAAAACAACCCAAACAGCCCAAACCACTACTGTTTTTCACCGGAACAGTACTATTTCTGTGCCTTTTCAACTCAGATCTGCCTCGGACCATCTCGGTTCGATCCTCGCCGCCTCCCATTTTCTTTGATGCCCAATGGGTTCTCTTATGAGGGAGCATGTTAGAGATATATAAAAACCATTAATGTAGCCTCACCTAATAGCTTAAGCTTTTGGGTTGAATTGGTTCTTTACAATTGGTTTATTAAATGAATTTATAACATTATTTTGTTTTGTTTTGAATTTATCATGTTCAGGAATCAAAGGGAGGTACTGAAAACTGTAAAAGGAACAAGTTAGGTGGGGCAAAATTTGATAGTTCTGCCCAAGAGAAAGGTAGAGTCCCGGGATTAAATGAATCTTTAGGTGCATGTAAATCTGGTTTTGTTCCTTTATTATGCAGTTGTTTAATTTGGTTTTGTTTTCTGCTAGAATAAGATTTCAACATGCTTTGAGTTTTGCAATTCATTTTTCCCTCTATCCTCTTGTTCTCTATTTTGATGGAATGGGATGTTGTGTGGAGGACTTTCAGGACTGGGGGAGGATCTCTTGTTAGGTTAACTAGAAACCATTTTCTCTCACAGTTTGGAAAAAGTTACTGTCTGATAATAAGATTGCATTACGTTGCAGTTGTCATTATATTGAATACACACATAATATCTTATATTTTTTATTTAACACCCCCCCCCCCCCTTTTCTCTCTCTCTTCTTTCTCTCTTGTGATTTTAGTTTATTTGAGAGGTTTTCTTGTTGCTATCCTAAATTTTGCAGAAAATGACCATAACAAGGAGGAACCAATCAAATATCCAATTGATGATCTATTGGTGAAGCCTGATCCAGATGATCCGGTTTTCACTAATCGCCCTTCTCCATCAAGAGACTTCAATGTTCCAATTTATTGTGTAGGGGATCTCTTAATGGTTTGGGATTTTTTCATGTCTTTTGGTAAACTGTTACGATTGTGGCCTTACTCTCTTGAAGATTTTGAAAATGCAATCTGCCACAAGGGTAGCAATGTTGTTCTCCTTGTGGAATCACATGCCGTACTCTTTCGGGTGCTCCTGAAATGTGATGATGAATACTCTTCAACTGTAGAGAAAAGAAAGCGGAAGTCTAAGGTTACTATCCTTCATATATATTCTTTTTGTTAGTGTCATCGATGGATAATTGTCCTTATTCCATAAGATGGTTGGTCCCAATTGAATCTTTTTCCTTGTAACTGGCATCCTCCTTGACTTGCTTATCCCAGTATTGTTTTTGATTTGGAAATATCTGATGCAATTTTATTTTCAGATTACAATGATTAATTGGACAGACTATGTACGTGATTTTCTAGATATGATCAATATTCCTGGCCTACGACACTATGAAGCAACCATAAAACGGGGACATTATGGTTTTCTAGATGTCAATGCTAAATTAGAAATCTTTTGTGAATTGGTCAATCGAGTCCTTGAAACTGCTATTCTCAGGGAAAAGTTGGATGAGTTTGTTGAACAGCGGCGGACACTTGGGGCCTCTAGAAGGGAAGAAGCACTGGAAGCTTCTAGGAAGAGAAAAAAAGAAAAGGAGCAGTTGAAAGCTGATTCTGAAAGCAATGGAGGTGTAGGTGGACATCATCTAAGTATCTCAACAAATAATAATCACAGATTACAGAATGGTGACATAGGAAAGAATAGAAACGGAGAGATAGAATCATCAAGCCAAAAAGATGCTTTGGATAGAAGGTTTGATTTTACCTTGCATGCTACATCTGCATGCATATGTTTATCTATCTACAAATCACATATTTCTCTATTTGGCTCTTATTGTTGCATTAATTTATTTTTCTTTTAAAAACATATAGCAGTGTGATCAACCATTCAAACCCTGCTTCAAAAATGACACCTAAGAAGTTTAATCCAGAGCTGAAAGGACCAGCAGAAATTGGAAATAAGGATCCATCAGAGAAGAAAAGTAAAGAAAAGAAGGTGCAACCTGTCTCCCTTATTGGATTGTGTTTAGTTATTTATGTTGATATTTTATTGACATTATTTATTACAGAGAGATTATTTTGAACGGGAGATGGAGAAACGATTTATTCGCACAAGCCCCTTAGGGAAGGACAGATATCATAATAGGTATTGGTGGTTCCACCGCGATGGGAGGATATTTGTTGAAAGTTCTGATTCCAAGGAGTGGGGATACTACAGCAGCAAGGAAGAGGTACTGGATACAGATAGCTTGCTATGTATGAATTTCTACATATATATCTTTTCTAATATTCAGTTTGCATACTTGAATAGCTTGATGCATTGATGGGTTCACTGAATTGCAAGGGTGAGAGGGAAAGGGCACTGCAAAAACAACTGGAAATTTTTTATAGTAGAATATGGTGAGTAAGATTTGCTTTTCAGTATATGACTTTCATGGAATCCATATATTGCTTTTCCCCGTCCTTTATTCCATTTTACACAGGGTTTAAGCTGTATTTCGTTGCATACTTCAGCAAAAGCCTTAGTTTTGGACTTGTGGTCCGACATGTACATATGCTTCATAAATGCTCTAAGTGGATAAAAATGAATGAAGGAATACATCAGAAAAATGCTATTATATTATATGTTTACTGTTAAATACAAGTCTCTTAGTGTTCTTTTATGTATGGAAAAGGATGTCAAGTTGCGCTCGTATTCTGGAATTATTGGTTGTTGCTGAAGTAGAACTTAATGTGAAACTATAAATGCTATTAAATTAATTGTCATGATAAAATAAACCACCTAATTGCTGTCACATGGTGGAACCTTCTAACTTACAACCTTTCTTTGAATATATACTTGAAAGTGAAACACGCATACACATGCACAAGTAAGAGAACAAGTGGTGGAGATACTGGTTGAGAAAATTAAGGGTGCTTTTGTTTTTTGTTTTGTTTTGTTTTTTTTTTTTCATTTTCATTTGATATGTTTTCATTCATAATTACAAAAGTGCCACCTTATTTTCACTTTCTTTCCTGTTTTCAAGAATTTGTAGAGAAATGATTAAAACAACGAAATCTTGCTTTTTCCGTTTCCTTTGCAAATTCTTGAAAACAAAGTTAAAATTCTGTGACATTTTTGTAATTATTAGTGAATACATTTCAACTGAAAATGAAAACAAAAATTAAAGCAAACGCACCCTAAGTGAAATGGAGAGAATAAATGGGATAATATTATTTATTTTTCTTAAAAAATACTTTAATGACCTTATTTTTTATTAGTTTCTTTGACAAAATTTTGAATTAAGCATGACTATTTTTTAAACACTCGGAACAAAGCATGAGGGCTGAAAGCTACCTCTATGTTCCCTTTATTAATAAAGATTTTATTTTTTATCAACATTTTCCCTTTGACATGTGAGGTTCTTTCTTTTTTATTGTATGTTTATAGCTCAGAATTCCAGAAAAGATCAAAGGATTTGATACATAAGATGGCACTGGATGACTCTGTGGTCCGGAGGTCTACTCGTGTTCGGGCTCCTCCTAGGGAAAATCCTGCCAGTGCTTTCCTCAGATATATTAATAAGTGGAAAGAAGAGTAGCTAATGCGGTGGTCTGACATATGGTAAAGTTCATCAAAGTGATTCAACCTGAAACTTTTAAGTTACTTGTTTTTTGATTCATTTGGTGGGATACATGGGGCGAGGGGGGCAAGGGAATGAGTTAGTTCATACTTTGAAGGTAATAGTCTCGTAGGTTTGGAGAAGATAGGGATTAAGTAGTTTTTCAAACTACTTTTTGATGATGGACGAGCATTTATATATGCTTGTTTTTTAAATTTAATACATTGACTTTTGCCATTCTTTTATAATAGTAGAAACTAGTATGAAAATGTCACTTTACTCTTGTATTGTATATTGCATGATTTCACCATTTTCCATTTGGATGTAATCGTGGCCATGGCCAGGCTCGAGCTATTTCTGATTATTTGAATAATGTCGGTTGGTTTTAGAAATACTTTTATCTTGTCTCTAATATTTTGGTTAGCTTGAATTGCCCCGGAACTAATCTTGTCCTGCGCTTGTATTATTAACCTTGATGGGTGCACAAGCACAAGTAGAACTCTCAAAAAGCAATGGAGAATGACATATATCATCTTCCAAATCTTTTTACGTTTTCTGGTATATTCAATTTTTTTCTCCACTCAATTTTTTGATTTTTTTTTTTTAAATTCGGTTTTGAATACTACGACAGTTTATATGACAATATCTGGATCATTATGTCATGCTAAGTTTCCTCTCTGGCAGATGTGTGAAATACTTGAAGTGATGTATCACCAAGTTGGAATATAGATATCTCAAACATAGCTCGACCTACAATGCTTCCTTGGTTGAGTTCTTGGATTGCTTTGCCTGCCTCCTCAAAGGTGTATCTCCTAGGAATGTCATGGCCAAGATTGAAGATACCTGTTTCTTCAAATGTAATTACCTTTAGAAGATCTTTATGAGCTAGTTTGCTTTTATTAAGTACAATACTAATGATAGGGAAAAAAAAAAGAAGAGGAAAAGAATAAAACAAATTAACTTGACCAACCAAAATAAAAGGAAAAAAAATTAAATTCTGTACCTCTGGTGCGTTATTGGGTTGTGTAAAAATTATAAGAAAATGTTGAAGAAAAATATTTCAATCAATTTTTCATAGAAGAATTAATTTGAAGTTTCATGGATAATGGAATTTTAAGAAAGGGATAAAAAAATAGTTAGTAATTTCTAGAACAAATGCGAGCTAAAGTTTTTAATTTAGCTGTATTACATAAATTCTGCTATCAATTAAATAGAATATGAAAATTTTAAAACAAATACAATCAAGTTTCCAATAGTAAAAACAAAAATGTCTGGGCCTAAAGTGGCCTAAAAAGTGACCTCTTTTGGCCCAACCTAACCATGGCATATCGCTTGTTGTTCTCTTCATGAGAATTGCGAATAAAATGTTTGCCCAAAATGTGCTAGGCAAAATTTGGACGAGCCCAAAAATGACTTGGCTTAAGTGACATCTTTCTTAACAATTATTGATAAATTTGGCAATGAGTGAGTTAGGGATGAACTTTTGCCTAGCCTAACCATTGCACAAGTTGCTCACTTCACGAGTATTATGAATGAAAATCCCCAAGAAAACATCAAAACTCACATACTATCATTCATGTCCCTCATAAATGAACATTTTTAAATACGAAGATAAAATTAAGTTATCATCTAATTTTTTTTAAAAAAATTTGATTTATCATCTTATGTAAATGAAGAGATACGTTTACAATTTTTATCAAAGAAATATCCTTAATAAATGTTAAATACTAATTAAATTTAGTGAACGAATATTATTTAACACGAATAATAACTTACTTTATTTAATAAGTTAGGCATGATATTTAATTTTCATTAGGAGTGAATGGTCCAAGACATACTAAGTTACGAATCCCAAACCCGCACTCCCTTCAATTCAGGGGACATTGACCAAACTGACACCATTTTAATAAAAATTTACCGGATTGCCATGCTACGAAATTTTTTTATCAAAATGCCGCGTCACAATCCCGCTGGTCTGACAAGCAGGAATGAACTGAACACGTGGCAGTGTCTGAATGATCAACCATTCTAGCTAAGCAGCCCATCGCGAAAGACATAATGCTGACACGTGGCAAAAGTACAAGCATTCTCTGCAAAAGTATAGGATACCTGCACTTTTACCACGTGTTAGCATTCTGTCATTTGCGTTGGGTTGCTCAATTAAAATGGTTGACCATTCAGACGCTGCCACGTGTCCAGTTCATTCGTGCTTGTCAAACTAGCGGGATTGTGACGTGGCATTTTGGCCAAAAAAAATTTCTGATGTCGCAATTCGGTAAATTTTTGCCTAAAAGGTGACAATATGATCATTGTCCCTCAATTGAGCTCCATCTTGCAGGGGTACATTGGGCAATACAATGTTTGAGTTGGGTTTTGTTGTGTTGCCAAATGCCAACGTAGTGGCATGTTAGTGGATATATGGGATAAGAAGTAAGAAGGAATGAATGAGTGTGGCGCAGACGAGTCACACCAACAAAGACTAGAATCTGAGTCCAGCGAAACACAATGATGTATGCACCTGGACTTTTGCCCAAATAGCCAACCCTCTTTCTCTTTCACATTAATCAACAACCTTCACATGGCAATGATATGCTACTACTGCCTTTTTTATTTCTTCTTCTTCTCTTTAATAGATAACCCTCACCTTTCTTCTACTTTTAGCTATTCTTTACACCTATAGCAGTCAGTGACACACCATAAAATATACTAAATACTTAATCATGCATATCTAAGAATAATTAGACAAATAACAGGTAATTTTATTGAGGACCAAAGGTCACAATTATAAGAATAATAAAAATTATATATAACTATAACAAAATGATAAATATTTTAAGGGAAAAATAAATATTATGTTGTAGGAAAAATTCTTAGGTCATGTTATAGAGACAATCGATTGTGGGGTTCACTATTTTTAAAATAAATAAAAAGTAAAAGAATTGATGGGCTCATTTTTGTATTTGTGTTGGAAAATTATTTGTGTCATGTAAAAGAAAGAAAACATTATCCATATTTTAATTGGGAAATCTTTTTCTTATGTTGATGTAGATAAATCTTATGTCAGTGAAACAAAATAATAAGAGGGACCTACAAATGATTAAAGAGAAAAAAATAAAGGTGGGACCCACTTTTGTTATGAGTATATAAAAAGATGAATTATCCGATGTTAAATGAGATAAATAAAATCCATTTTAATTAGGTATAAACGAAACCTCGCCATTTAATTTCTAATTGCAGTGTGATTTTCTATCATAATTGGTGGTGGTATTTTGTTGCATTGTTTCATTGACTAGAAGGGTGATGCACATGTGGCGACTCCTTAGGTCATTTAGGGGGTATTTGGTAGGAATTTTTTTTTAGATAGTCAGGCAACTTTCATTGGTATTTTAACTTGATCATGTTTGGTACAAGACTCAAAAAAAAAATTACCAGAAAAATTCTTTGCCCAGCCATTGTGATTTGTTTGCAAAATTTCATGAAAAAAACACTGTTATAGAAAATCACATGAAAAGTGGTATTTTGGGTTGACCAAAATGACTGTTTCAGAAAACACTTTTCCAACCATTGTAATTCAAATTCAAAATTTAAAAGGATTACTTTAGTAATTTATATCCATTATCCCGATAATATTTTATCTTCAACTAAACATAGACTTAAAATTTAAATTATTTTTCTGATAATATTTCATCAGCCTATCAAATAACTTTCTTTTTAACTTTTCTACCAAACTTACTTTCCTACCATATTCTCAATAATTATATTTTTTTAATAATTTTTTTTCCTCTACCAAAAGACAGCAAAGACCCTGCATTTGTAATGAAATTTTTCGCTACTAAGAATGGTGGTATTTAGTTGTATTGTTGGGAGATACTAAGGGGGCGTTTGGCACAGGAGATAAATTTTATTACCAGGAAAATATAATTAATGGATAAATAGTTGAAAAATTAAATTAGTGGGGAAATGTAAAAAAAGTTGTTTGGTAGACCATAATATTACCAGAAAAATTAACAAATATTTACTAAGACTATGTTTGGTTGAAAGTAAAAGATTGATGGAAAAAATATCAAAAAACCGAAAATACCCCTTTAAAATATCGACTTTCTTTATTCAATAGAGCCGTTGTTGCAGTATCGTTGGACACCTATGATGCAACCAACGTTCGTCATGGCTGGAAATAACCCTCGCAAGCTCATGTTTATGTTTGTGGAGCTATAGCTGCATCACAAAGCATCCGCATGGCTGGATCAACTCGAGACCATGTGATAATTGTTGATGAGACAATCAGTGGATACCACAGAATTGGTTTGGAAGCAGCAGGGTCGAAGGTTAGAACAATACAGAATTATAGAAACCCCAAAGCTGAAAAACATGCTTACAATGAATGCACCTACAGCAAACTCCATGGGATGGCAGCTTACAGATTATCACAAGATAATATTTATTGATGCAGATTTAGTCATATTAAGAAATATTTACATGGTGGATCATATTAATGAGTGGCATGTCTTACAATGGAGGGGACCAGGGATATTTGATTGAAATATTTACATGGTGGCATAGGATAGCAAGACAGATGAACTTCTTGAAGCATTTTTGGATTGGTGATGAGGAGGAGAAGAAACAAATGAAAACTATGTTGTTTGCTGCTGAGCTTCCAATTCTTTGCATGTTCTTCACTATCTACACTTGATGCCTAGGTTATGCTATATGGACTATGATTGCAAGTGATGTTGCACATGAAAAGTGGTGGAAGGTGCATGATGCAATGCCTGAGCTCCCTCAAGTTTTGCTAGTTGATTTCTAAACCAACGTATCGTTTGCGCAAAATAAGGAACAACCACGTCTCATCAGCAACCAATGATACACCCCAGCAGCAACCACGCCTCATATTTCAATCTTCACTCCTTCCTGTGCAAAATAAGGACCACATAGAGGAGAGAGGATCTGACTAGCCGAATATCAGGGGCATTTGGGTAACAAAACACGTGCCAAAATTTCCACTTCCTTGATTCTCTCCAAATACCACCTCCACAGTCGCATTTGCAAACAGTGATTTCTACAAAAATTTACACACAACGCAAGGTTTCATGGGGGAAGAGGTTCTCTAGTTATTTTTGTCACACTCTTCTACCAAACAAGGCTTAATTCAAAAAACCACTCTCACTTACCCATCAATCCCCTTAAAAACCACCTACCAAACACCACTAAGGAGTAAGGATGCTTGAACATTAGATATTTTACCATGTTATGGGCTTAAAATATTGCCACAACAAAAGGTAAAATGTATTTAAAGAAATTTATTTCAAAGTAATTTTCAATTAACTATTAAATTCTCTTTACGAAGAAAAATCTTTTCTATCAAAGTTATATTTAATATTTAAATTTTCTCTTTACATTTTTTATTTTTTTATACCGATCCTAATTAATTCTTTAAAATAAATCAGTTTCTTAAAAAAAATTAATTAAATGTTTCTTGTCTTTCAATCAGATACTAACAATTCAAAAAAGGAAAATCTCAACCGACGACAAAACTTCAACATTAAATATTAACTTTTATTTACTAATTTCTAAACATTTAATTAAAAAAGAGAAAAAATAAATAAATGTAACTCATGTGATTTGAATGAATATCGAAAAAGGTAGTTGGTATACCTAAAACCTGTGGTACGTGTCAATGCAAGAGGGAAGAAGCACAAGGAAAATTATGAGGACGGGTTGACGTTAACATTTCCAGGCATTCATTGGAAAAAGAAGCTTTAGCTTTTGGGACAGATAGTCCTCATGGCGGTGCCATTTCTTCAGATAACTAAACCGTAACAGCCACCCTTCGATTCTTTTTCTAACCATTTTCAATTACTATTATACTTACTTTATTCTATTTTTTATGTAATTTAATCTTTCTCACAACTATACACAGTATACAAACCCTTTTTCCTAGTTATTATATTTTAGGGTTCGTTTTTTGTCATATCATATGACAACACTATTTTCTTGCACATACAAATTAAGTGTGAGTCTCACGCTTAAAAAAAAAAAGTCAAACCAAAATCAGGATACGGTGCCTTATTCTTAAGGGCATGTTTGGTGCATAGTATATGATAAGGCATGATAGTATAAGACCTGATAGTATAAGGCCTGATTGAATTTTAATACTATCCAACGTTTGACACGGTATTGTAAAATAATATATTGTATAAGATAATATCATCTAGTATTTGGTAATGCACTGTATAATATTATATAGGATAAAAATAAATATTTTTATTAATAATATCCTTTAATAAAGAATTTATATAATTCTTCAAAAAATATCATACGATATTAATTTTTATAAAAATTTATTGATTAGGATGTTCAAAACATAAATTAATTTTTATAAAAAAAAAATTAATATTTTAAAAATTAATATATCAAATTAATTTTTATTTTAATATATTAATATTAAAATAATATATTAATTTTTGAGAATTACACTGGTCAACGATGTTAATACACCAACCTCTTATCAGGCCTTATCCCCCCCCTTAGGCCGGATTAAGTTATACATCATTTTGATGTATTAAGGGATCTTGCTGTATAAACTTATACTATATGATGGTCACACCAAACAACTGAAATATCATAACGTATAGTATAAACTTATACTATCAGGCCTTATACGTCGCATCAAACATGTCCTAAGATATGTTGCCGGATCCTTGTTGCAGGAATGAACAGTGTTATTCCTGCAACATGATTCTTATATTTCCCTATATTTTATTAGGAATTTGCTTTCGTCATTTAACATGATCACAAAAAGTTTTTTACATATACAACATTTTGTGTGACCTACATGTTTTGAAAAAAAAAAAAAAGCTACGGCACGCAAAACAAATCTCTATAACATAACACAATTATTTTTTCGTACAACATAATTCTTATAACATTCATTTTATTAAATCATACTTATAAATTAATTTTTAATTTTTAATAAAATAATAATTAAATTCACATAAATAAATAATTAAAATTTGGTGTTTATATATCCTATCTTATTATATATCAGTTTTTCTTTTCTCACATAAGATGATATAACGTAAAAGTAATAAGAGAAAACATTTTCTCATGATGTAATAAGAGAGTTATTTTTTCTACAAATAATTTTTTGATTTTTGTGCAATATTTTTTTTTATTTTTTTAATAAATGTGAGCCCCAATTAAAATATGTTTGTAGTATGCAAAATTTTCTCCTTGAGACAATCGAAACCCACATAACAAATAACAGGTTCATCATTTGTTAAAAAAAAAAGTAGAAAAACAAAGAAGACAGCACAGATTTTGATAGAAAATTATCTCTTGTTACGTGATAAAATAATTTCCATTTATATATATATATATAAAATTTTCTCTTCAAGTAAAAAATTTGTCCACAACCTTAAAATACTTAGTTCCCCACTTGAGAATGTCATCATCATCATCATAAGCCCAAAAAGGTTAAGGTTAAGAACAAAAGAGAAAAAGCAAGACCTTTGGCTTTGGATCTTCCATGAAATGAAATGCTGAAGCTGTTAAGGGTCTATCAGTGTATCTTAGGTTTCTTCCTCGTCATCTCTGTCGTTGTGTCTGTCTTTTCAGGTGATTCTCACTCTCACAATATTAAACTCATGAAAATTTCGTTTCTTTGTTTTTGTTTTTGTTTTTAAAGGTTTTTTTTTTACTTTTCTTGAATTTGAATTGTGTCTCTTGTAGTTGTAGGTTTTGTTGATGTGTCTTAATTTAGATCTGAGCAACTGTAATCATGATTCGGTTAAGATGCTAAAGCAATTCATTTCTTATGAGCTTAATTATGATACCCATTATGTTTATCCTTCAACGTGCAATAATAAGTTTAACTTCATAGTTCAGAGTCTCATCTCAGCATGCTTTGGGATTTTATTTTATTTTTTTTAAATTAAGTACCCATTTGGCTTTTGGACTTACTGATTGTAATTTTGGCTTAATTTTCTTCTATGCAATTTCTTTGTAATGACACTGAAATTGAGTCATTTGCTGAGTTTCTGGCCTTTGATTTTTTTTCGGTTGCAGGGTAGTTCATGACATACTGTTCGGACTTCGGTTGCTCCTATAACGTGATGGCGTTTTTTACTTCGAACTGAGGTCAATTTACTGAAAGGCGTTTTTTACTTCATGTAGTTATGAATTATGAGTGTTCTTATAGCAAATTTTGGTATGTTGTTCTTCAATTACCTTCCATTCCCTGCAGATATTATATATAATGGTTAATAGTCTAATGTGATGTGATACCCAAACCCAAATTTTTGCTTCATACATTGCAAAAGACAAGGTGCTAACTAAAACTATGTTGATTCTGGCTTCCCCAAAATCTTAAGACATGGTCTATATTCTATCATGCTATTCATCTAAGGGGAAAAAGTTTGTTCTCAGTTTGGTCTTCCATTTTCGTTATTTATATAATAAAGTTATTATGTAAGGGTAAGGCTGCGTACAAGGATCCTCCACCTCACACTCGCTAGTCGGGTTTAACGGGGAGTGGTTTTTTTTTTTTTTATATAATAAAGTTATTCTCTTTTATTTTTTGTTTTTATGTATGTAATTATATGTTCCAAACCTTTATTTTCCTGTAGCCTTTTTTGGAAAAAAATTCAGAAGGTTTTTCTTGTTTCTCTTTGGCAAAAGTTGATAATCCACTGCATTTAATTTTAGTTGATATTAACTCTTTTGTTCCATGTTTTCTTCCTCTTCTGTAATATCTTCAACTTTAATTTTCAGCTCTTTATCTAGAAAGAATGGCAACTGAGCTAGTCAATGCTGCAACAAGTGAGAAACTGGCTGAAACTGATTGGACAAAAAATATTGAAATCTGTGAGTTAGTTGCTCGTGATAAAAGGTACTCTTTCATGTACTTATTTGTTGTTGTTTCTTTCGGATTGATCAATGTCCTAAAATATTGGGATTTGAATAATTGAAGCCAATTGTATCATGTGGAACTAAACTCAGTTAATTTTTTTTCATACATAACTCTTATCTTTTAGATCTTGATTATGGAACTTTATAATATATTTTTCTTTGCATAGGAATAGAACCTATGATCTCTACCCTTACCACTTGCGCTTTGCCCAAGTGGCTAATTTTGTGCTTATTATAGGAAGACAATCCTTACGAATGATATTTTTCAGTGTTGCCAAGATTGATTGTTGGGTTCCTTGGAATAAATTATTTCATTTTTAGCCTTACTTTTTGTATTTGGAAATTTATTTTATCTCTCAAAAGGAAAACTTATATTAGAAGAAGGCTTCACTTAGTTGGTAAATGACTGATATCTGGTGACACATGCTTATTTTGTGTTCAAAAATCAAAACAGCTTATAATAAATCTTACTGGGAGAGCTTTTGAAAAAAAGCAATTTTATCTTAATCAAATCCAAACAAGCTCTTAATTTGCAATTCAAATTATGTTCTTCATGGTTCTTGTTCACCACTATCCCTGGCTAGGCTTGCTTCCCTTGATTACAAACATATGATGAACTCATACATGTGGCACGATAATCCAAGCAGTTTTACTCTTTTAACAAATATCTCATAATATCTTAATTATATATTAGATTATCTCTTAAGATTGGTTTCCATGTTTCTATATATTTCATGATTTGTTTCCTTATTTAATTAGAATTATGAGTCTTTTATTAGTATAAATGAGTTTAGTGCTTTGTCTTTTGTATTGCATCATAACACATCACCATACACCATATATCAATACTATATTCAATTATTTAGATTTCATCATGGTATCAGAGTGTTATCATCCTCTATAACTTGTCTCATCATCTCTCTGCTACCTAGTTTCCTAAAATCCATAGCTCTAATTATTTTTTCCTTCAGATTAGTCACCTATCTTTGTCCCAGATGTCGTTTGGCTCTCATGTTCTCTTTCCACTTACAATCATTCCGATGACGTCTTTCTTACTAATGAGTCATACAGTGATGAACTATTTGTGAATTTGTTGTGATTTATACGGGCCTCCCATTGTGAACCATAGTGATGGTGATTTCTCCTATCTCACTTATGTGTCATGTTATCAATGAATTCTCCATGGCTGTGATGCATACCAGCCTCAGTTTCAATTTCAATTTTTTTTGGGGGGTCTCCTGAGCTTTGTTTCGGTTTAAAACTTCCAAATAACGACCTTGATAAACTTGGAGAAGTTTCAGTTCTTGCAGTGTATAATTGCTTGCAAGGAACTTTTTTTTAATAATCATTCTAGCAAAATCCCTTCTTCCTTGGTCATGCAACATTCCAGCTGTGATCATTCCACCCATCTTGTTGAGTTGCCTTTACAACAATTCTTATATCTTCGATGTCCCCACTCCCCAGCATCCCTGAGTTGCCTTTCCAACCATCCTTGAGTCTCTTCTAACAAGCTTAAAGCTTAGTAAGCTTTATCTTGAGGAGTGTTTGAATATATGAAAAATATCTCATAATATCTTGATTGTATCTTAGAGTATCTTGGATTATCTTTTAGGATTGGTTTCCATATATCTATATATTTCATGGTTTCTTTCGATATTGTAAAGAACCAATTCAACCCAAAAGCTTAAGCTGTTGGGTGAGGCTACATTAATGATTTTATATATCTCAACATGTCCCCTCACACGAGAGCCCACTGGGCTTGACGGGTGGACAATACACAGGTCCACCTACCTGTGCGAACAAAGAAATTCCACTTGAAAGAAAGTGGAAGGCGGCGAGGATCGAACTCGGGACACGAGGCTCTGATACCATGTAAAGAACCAATTCAACCCAAAAGCTTAAGCTTTTGGGTTGAATTGGTTCTTTATAGATATTATATTAGGATCAAGAGCCTTCTAATTAGTGCTTTATCTTTTGTATTGCATCATAACACGTCATTACACACCATATATCAGTATTATATTCAATTATTCAGTTTGTTCTCTCTTTTCCTCCTTCTCTACCCAAATCTCTACAATTTCAACATGAACTATCATATCTTTTGAATATGTAGACAAGCTAGAGATGTTGTTAAAGCTATCAAAAAGAAACTGGGTAGCAAACACCACAGTACTCAACTTTATGCTGTCATGGTGAGTATAACTACTTTATTTGGAACTTGCTTATTCATAATTTTTCATGTGAATTTCTAATTAGTTTTACCTATACTGAAAAACTTAGGTAAAGACACAGTTTGACTCTACATACTTTCCACTGTATCTGATACAGAGAAGCTTGGTTATTTGACTTTGTTGTGGTGAATATTTACATTCCTTGCTTTCCTATTCTATGGTGTTCTACTGAATCCTCTTTGATCTATTGATTTTCTAGCTGCTGGAAATGTTGATGAACAATATTGGAGAGCATATTCATGAGCAGGTGATTGATAATGGAATTATTCCAATTCTTGTGAAAATTGTGAAGAAAAAGGTGAGTTTTCTCCACAAAGATATGTTTTATTTAGCAATTTTAGTTTTTTTGTAACCTCATTTTTTATTTTGTCTTTTTCCTTGGTTGCAGTCTGATTTGCCTGTGAGGGAGCGGATATTTCTCCTACTAGATGCCACACAAACATCCCTTGGTGGTGCTTCTGGAAAGTTTCCCATGTATTATAATGCATATTATGATTTGGTGGTAGGTACAAATATGTGACACAAACCCCTGGGATATTCTTATGATTTGATCTGGATTCATTTGATTAAAAGGTGGTGGATAGCCTGTTGTCTTGTCAGAGTAAGAAAGAGTGAGATCATTTAAACTATATGATTTTTAATATAAGAAGAGGCTGATATAGCTTATACTATTCAATTAGTTAGCAATTGAATCTTTAATTGCTTACTGGAAGTAGTTTTTACCAAAAAGGAAAAAAAAAAAGATAAGAAAAAACAAGTGGTTGCATGGGATTTTCTTTTCCCCAATACTAGTCAATTAGTCATTATATGTCCTTTGGATGCCAATTCTAAAACCAAAGTCATGACATTGGGTTTATACTTTTTACAGAGTGCTGGAGTGCAGTTTCCTCAAAGGGCTCAAGTGGTCCAATCAAATCATCCTAGTTCACAACCTAGTAGGACTAGTAATATACCAAACAGGGAGCTGGCCTCACCTAGACATGAAGGGGTTGCTCAGCAAGCAGAGTCCCAGACTGTCCCTGAATCTAGGTGACTTTTGCTTTTTAGTTTTAGTCTAGTTGTAGTTGACAGGATCTTTAGAAATCCTTTTGTAGCTGACTTTATTGAAAATGATTTATAATGTTAAGAACATTGTTATTAATACCGCGCTATAGCGGGGAAGCAGCACATTGCATCCTCAGGTCCACTTTCTAGTTACAGGGGTGAAACCCCCTTCTTTACCTCCCTATTTTCTAAGTTATCAAACCCATTATTTTCCGTAGTTTACATCAGAAGCATACAGAGTATGTGTTTCGACAAAAAAAAAAGAAAAAGAAAAACTCAAAAGTGTGTTCTCTGTTTTGTTTCTGGCCGCTGACCCACTGTTCTAGCATTGTTTCCAGCCAACCCTGATGTTCTCCGAAAGACACACTTCTCTTGGGGGCGTTCAGCTCTCTCTTTACACATCTTTGCTCTTCTCTTTTATCATTTGATCTATGTTCATGGTAGGCATCATAACTCGTAGATCTCTGTTCTTTTTTTTGTGTTGTGTACTTCCTTCACACTTCACATTCTGTTTTTTTTTTGGTCCAGCTCCTCTAGAGTACAATTTTTTATTATTAATTACAATGGGTTTAATTTTAGATAATTTTTTATTTTTTTAGCATTTATATGTGTAAAACATAAATTAATTATCTTGTGTTTTTAATCTTTGGGATAGTGGACTTTCACTATGGTGATTTTAGGGTGGGCCGATCCTCAATGTTATCTGAGATTCATAACTTTGGATGAAAAGAATTATTTGCTTTAATTAGGGGATGGAAACTAAGATTAGAAGATTTAGCCAAATACGATAGTTTTTGGTCAAGTGAAATGACTGATAAGAAATAAGTTTCAAAATCAATTTTTGGTGGATGTTTTTTTGTTTCAAAATCAATTCATTCTAAAATCTGTTTGTAAATACTAAAAAAAAATAAAAAATAAAAATAATATCTGTTTGTATCCTCATTTTCATCTACTGGTATTCTGTGATCGTGTTGTGCAGCATTATTCAAAAGGCTAGTAATGCATTAGAAGTTCTAAAAGAAGTCCTTGATGCGGTAGATGCTCAACATCCTCAGGTGAGTCCTCAGAGTTAGTTATAGAATCTTAAATAATTACGGTCTAACTTCTTTTCTTTTCCAGGGAGCAAAGGATGAATTCACCCTTGACCTTGTAGAACAATGTTCATTTCAGAAGCAAAGGGTAATGCATCTTGTGATGACTTCCCGGTAAGGCTACTTTAAATTTTTCTTTTCTGCTTTTCGCCTATACAATTTCCTGCTTTTTCCTGCGAGTTCAGAGGATGGATTGCAATGCCTTTCCTTCTAGTCTGTTGGTTGCTCTAAGAATTCGCTTTGATACTCATCCTGTGCATATTAGCAAACAAAATAAATTTCAATGTAGGCTTAGTTTAACAACACGAGTTTTAGTGTTGATCCCAAGAAGAGTATAAATTTTGGTTTTTTATGGTGCTTCCTCTTTTGCCCTCACCCCACCTCACTAGTCGGAGTTTAATGGGGAGTAATTTTTATGGTGCTTCTTATTTTCTAAGACGAAGGCAGAAACTTAGATTATCATGTATGTACACTTAATATGGGAAAACCACAATAGGTATTCATGATAAAAGTATTTCTAGTTTATGAAACAGATAAGTCAATAAGTGGTTACTCATTAATCAGTCTTCGAATATTTTAATGTAGTTTAGTAGTTAATTGTTCCTAAACTTGAATTACTTTCAGCAAGAATTTCTTTCTTGTAATTTTCCCTAATATTTATGTATTTGCCTGTGCATGGTTTTAGTATATGGTTAATTTGTACCTTCAAGTGGTTTTTGCATTGGTCTTTTTGCAGAGATGAGAGGACAGTTTCTCGAGCAATTGAATTAAATGAGCAGCTTCAGAAAGTTCTTGCTAGACATGATGACCTTCTTTCTGGTAGAGCTACAACAACTGCTACTCGTTTTGACCGCGAAGAAGTAGAGGAGGAAGAGGAGCCTGAACAGTTAGTTCGAAGGTGCATTGCCTTTGAGTGTTTTTTTCTTTATGAAAGATAACACTGGATTTTGAACATTCATTCAGCTCTGTATGACCAATGCCTTGCAGATTACGCAAAGGAAAGGCTTGTGCAAGGCCTGAAGATGAAGAGACCGAAACCGAGTTATTTCGGTTGAGTTTGGTTGGAGAGAGACTCAATCGTCCACTAATAAGACCACTCTCTTTAGATGGTAATCGTTCTCCACCTGCAGTAAACCAACCTTCACCTCCAAAACAGAATGGGGAGGTTCCTCATGTGGCAATTCCACCACCACCTGCAAAACACATTGAGAGGGAGAGGTTTTTTCAGGAAAACAAGGATGGTTCTAATTTGTCTGGCCACACGAGAGGCCTCTCCTTACATAGTCGTAATGGCAGTAGCTCTCTCAGTGGAAGCTTTGATTTTAGTGACTGATATCCCTTAACAATAGGACCTCTTTTAGCCTTTTTCTTCTCATTCTTGTCTTAATTTGGATTTTAGTACTTGTGAGAATTTGGTGATTTCTGATTTACTCTTGGTGAGTTTGGAGAGAGAGAGAGAGAGAGAGAGAGAGAAGGGGAGATGGAATGCATCTGCTTCAGTTCATATATTACTTGTAATTAAGTGTTTTCTGAGATCATATGCTATGTGTGTTAAATGATATTGCTGCTGCTTTTTTTTTTTCCCCCCAATAATTTTTAGGAACTATATATTTTCTTCGTACTCTACTTAAACCATTTAAAAAAAAAAACTTCTAAACTAATGTTTTTATTTTTATTTTTTATACCGATTTTAATTACTTATTTGAGGTGACTCCACCATCCAATATTTCAATAAGTTTTGATTTTTTGAACTGGTTATGAGATTATTCGGATCGAGATTTAGTCAGAATTAAAGTTTATTATTTTTCTTCAGAGATGTATTTGGTAAAAATCAAAAATGAGTTATTTCCTTGCCTATTCATGCTGTGTCGCAAATTGAATTTTACTTATTTGTACTAAACTTCTACTTCTAAGCAATTTTTTTTTCCACAATGAAGTATTGCTATTTTCACAACTGGCAATTGTATTAATAAAATATACCTGATGCAAATGGAATTGTATAAATAAAATATACAATAAAATTAAAACTCGATACATTTTTTTATTTTTGGATGATTAAAGAAAAATAAAAATAAATGAAAGTATTATAATATACACTTTAATATATTTAAATTTATTATCGTATATGTTAGAATATTTACAATGCTTTATAATAAATGTAAAAGATTGATTTAATTTAAAAATATTTACAATATTCATATTGAGTATATTTGTGTATTTACAATTTGGAGTTTATTATGAAATCAAGATACCGCATTTGTTTGTACGAACAACTAATTTAACAATAATGGCTATGTCATTTTAAGAAAAAAGAACAATAGGTATATAATTATGAATCATTAAAAAATTATTGAATGAAACTATGTATATTATTTTTTATTTGCATTGTCATTCTATTAACTATTGCACTTCTGTTGTGTCGTTAGCAATAAAAATGTGGTATAATTTGATTAACAAGAGAAGAGCATATTCAAAAAAGTTGGATGCACAAGCCACTAGGAGTGAATTAGTCATGAGAGGCTTTGGAATGGATAGTTTGAATGCGGTTATAGTGATAGATCATTTTATAAAAAGAAAAAGGAAAAAAAGAAAAGTTGGATACACATTATAATCTGAATTCCTTTTCGTACGTGTCTCTCATATTATAACTGAACACTCGCATCATATTCTCAATAACAAATGAAAACTGTCAATTTATTTCCATGAATATTCCCACATCAAAGAGAATCAAGTCCATAAAAAAATAAAATAAAATAAATTAATGAGAGAATCTCATTAGCATTAATTTTAAGATGTGAATCATGCATAAGAAACCCCTTTAGCTAAGGGCTCGGACAAGATAAAAAAGATAAGATATGATATGTTATCATATCGTGTAATTATCCAGGTAAACCAACATGATATGATAAGCTTATCTTGTTGACTTATTTTATCATGTCCGTAATATGATAAGTCATCTTAAAAGAGGACTCGAATTAGGAATGGACAAATAAGATAATAAATGTCACATCTCTCTCATTTCAAATATAACCCTATGCTTTTTCCCTATGAACATTATTGGACATGTGAGGGTCAGCTCTTACCATTGACCGACCGCCACCGCCACTGCCGCCGCTACCGGCCATCAGCCACTTCTACCACCTACTAGCAGATATAATCATGAGCGACCAGCCACTACCATTATCACCAGCTACAACCACCCGCTACCACTTATCAACCCCCACAATTGCCCCCATTCACCATCATCACCATCGCTACAACTGCCACCACCACCAACCAGCCGCCACCTTGGGTCATCACCACCCCTAAACACCAAGCATAACAGCTACCGCCACCATTACCACCATCCACTGTCATCAATTAGCTACCTCAATTGCCACCTATCAGTGTTGGTGTCGCCGCCACCGCTACTTCCACCAACCACCTTCACCGCCACCATTGGACCAACAACTACACCATCGTCACCAGCACCCCTGACCACCGGGCACTAACTGTCACCACCATCGATCAATCACCACAATATTTTATTTAAAATTGTGACTTTTAATTTTTTTTAATTATTTAAAATAAGAAATAATGTGTAAATAAGTAAAAAAAAAAGGTTTAAAAATCAATTTTAAAATATCATATGAAATTCCATTAAAGAGATATTTTTGTCTATTTATATCATATCATGATACTATATAATTCGCTTCAAACACCGGATAAGATAACATTATCCTATCTGTTTATAGTGCATATCAAACGCAAGATAGGATATGAGCTTATGATACTCTATATCTTATTCTACTCTAATTTGGCTTTCGTATCATATACATTCCTATCTTATCATATACGAGCCCTAAAAGGCACGCACATATACCCCATATTACGTTACTCTTGGTAAACTATGGCATTTGCGGTGAAGAATATCTAAGCACCAAGAAATGCATCACACCCCATACTAATCTTTCTCGAGCACCAACTTTGTCACATTGAATTGAGCGAAACGAAGATACTGTAAATAAAGATGAGAGCTTCTAACAAATGCTTCACTTGGTCCACTTGCTGGTCTTCTCGGTTTGTTGCGCTCTTCTTTATACTAGTCCTAGTGGTTATGAAGTAGCAAGTCCCAGAATAGTGGAAGCCATATTTGCAGAATGTGTCCCAGTGTTGATTTCTGATAGCTATGTTCCACCCTTTAGTGATGTTTTGAATTGGAAATCTTTTTCAGTTCAAGTGGATGTGAAGGAAATTCCCAATATCAAAAAGATACTCATGGGAATTTCACAAAGCAAGTACTTGAGGATGTTGAGGAGAGTGAAACAGGTACAAAGGCATTTTGTGCCCAATGAGCCCCCAAAGAGGTTCGATTTTTTCCATATGACTATCCATTCCATTTGGCTCAGGAGGTTGAATATTTATTTTCAAGATCAGTAAATATGAAATCTGCTAGACACATTCTGCATCAAGCATGTACAGTATCCAGAAATGGTTTTTCATATGTACCATGGTGGATGAAGACCAATACAATTACCAGTTTTACCAATTAACATATTTGGTAAAACTCTGGAAATTAGAGTTTGACTTTTTGTGTTTTCGGATAACAGATTCATTATCAATGTGATCAATTGTTTGATCTTAAAAAGATGCCCCACCAACTCGAACCCTCAAAATGCAGTGTAATGACAGACACAGCACATTACTATATTTTTATTTGAGAAAGAGATGGTAGTTAACTTGTAAGTACTTTTTTCTCACTGTCAGTCTAATTCTAAATTTAAGTGTGGCAATGCTTATACATATATAAGTGAGAACTTTTAGGCAACATTATATGGCTGAGGTCATTGCTCATTGAATTCTGTAAAGAACCATGGGATACACCACCCCAAAAGCTAGTTCAAAGGGTGGGAGTGCCCAAGGCCTTATAAACTCCACATTAGTTGCTCATACATCCAATGTGGGTCCCCTCACACAAGATCCCATTGAGCTTGAAGAGTGGACAATGCAACAGGCCCAGCTTACCTGTGCTAAAAAATTCCACATGAGAAAGTGAGGGGCGGTGAGGATCGAACCCGGGACACGAGGCTCTGATACCATGTAAAGAACCAATTCAACCCAAAAGCTTAAGCTGTTGGGTGAGACTACATTAATGGTTTTATATATCTCAACACGCCTTCTCACACGAGAGCCCACTGGGCTTGAAGGGTGGACAATGCACAGGCCCACCTACCTATGCGAACAAAGAAATTCCACTTGAAAGAAAGTGGAGGGCGACGAGGATCGAACCCGGGATAGGAGGCTCTGATACCATATAAAGAACCTTGGGATACACCACCCCAAAAGCTAGCTCAAAGGGTGAGAGTGTCCAAGACCTTGCAAATAGGATCGTAACATTCCACCACGCTCCGTAGTCCCGACGCCCACACGGGCTGGCTTTCCACCACGCTCTGCAGTCCCGGCATCACCACCCGCGCCGCTTGATTGCAGCCGAGAGGCATAGTGAAAGGCTCTGATATCAGAGATAAGAACCTTGAGGTGCACCACCCCAAAAACTAGCTCAAAGGATAGGAGTGTCCAAGGCCTTATAAACTCCACATTAGTTGCACATTCAACCAATGTGGGACTATATATCTCAACACGCCCCCTCACACAAGAGCCCATTGGGCTTGAAGAGCGGATGATGCAACAGGCTCAGCCTACCTGTGCTAAGAAATTCCACAAGAGAAAGTAGGGGGCGGCGAGGATCGAACCTGGGACACGAGACTCTGATACCATGTAAAGAACCAATTCAACCCAAAAGCTTAAGCTGTTGGGTGAGACTACATTAATGGTTTTATATATCTTAATACGCCCTCTCACACGAGAGCCCATTGGGCTAGAAGTGTGGATATTGCACGGGCTCAATTTTTGGTTTACCTTTTTGTGCTTTTTATTTTAATTCCACTTTAAAGTGGAGGCGATGAGGATCGAACTTGTGACCTTATAGTCACTCAAGCTCTGATACCATGCAAAGAACCTTGGGATACACCACCTCAAAAGCTAGCTCAAAGGGTAGGAGTGCCCAAGGCCTTATAAAGGCCATATTAGTTGCCCACACAATCAATGTGAGACTATATATCTCAACAAATTCTTATTATCTGCTTCAAATAAAGATCATTTTGACAAAAACTATCTTGGAGATAATAGGGAAAGGTAATTTAGATTTCAGCAGTGTGCTCATACATGGCGATTTAGAATGTGATCAGACAACTATTGTTCTCATACATGGCGCCTATTGTAATACAAGTACTAAATTACAAGAACGGAGCCATGATTATAATACATATAAATCAAATATAATACACAAAAAAAGGTGACTTCTAGATAAAAGTATTTTAACAAGTACACAAGAATTGGAGTGCTTAACTAATTTGGAATTCTCCACTTGCATGAACCTCTTTGACCCTCTGATCATACTCATCTTCTTCATCCTCCACTTCTGCATCCAAATCTTCTGCCTCTTCATCTTCTTCACCTTCCCAACCAAAACCTTTGACAGGCCTAGATACTGGAGGTGGGTTTCTTGCCTCTCCCACAATTTTCATTACGTCCTCCACACTCTGAACATGAAAGCTTGGATTGTCTCTCTGATAATAGATAGCTTGAGCTGATTCAGTTAACTCCCTTGGAAGATTCTTTAAAAACCATGGGTGGTTTTTAATTTCCTTAATAGTAATTCTCTGTAAATAATAAATAATATATTCAGGCAGTTCGCTCCACATATACAAGTCTTAATTCCAAATGTAGTTAGTTATATTTTTAATAGCATCTTGTTTGACAAAAGTCACATTTAAACTCTTGTCCTTCACTCTGACGTGCAAAAGCCACAGGAGAATGAACTGAAGACATAATATTAGTAGAGCATCCTAAGAGGGAGATATTTTGAAGTGAAAACTAAACATAGTACTTACAAATGTATGCTTCTAGAACATAGAAGAGACATGGCATACATGATCTGATATGCGTGAAAGTCTAAACCAATTTGCAATAATAGCGAAAAAGTTTGGCAGCTTAAACATTATAACATACCCTCAATGGATTTGCAACAAATATACGAGAGAGGAGGTTTCTGCAATCTTGAGATATGTGAACATAATCAGGGATTTTGTATTGAACAGACATGATACGCTGTAGAATAGGACAGGAAATGGGGATAAGAACGATGTGAACATAACATAAGAAATATTATGAAAATCAGTATTGAAAGGGAAGAAACATACCTGAATTGTTTTCCTAAAATTCCTAGTGTCATCCTGGTCCTCAAAGGGATATGCTCCAACCAGCATGACATAAAGAGTCACCCCACATGACCATACATCAGCCAACTAAAACAATAATTTGAACAGAATCATTAATGCATTGGTTCAAAAGTAAACAAAATCCTTTACATTGAATACATGTAAAAAATCAAAATATACTTTGTTCCAGGTAACATAATCAGAAGAACAACAAAGCAACAAAACTAGTGATGAGTACATGTTTGATTATAAAATAAATCCCACCTGCCAATCCTGTCCACAAACACACACAAAAAAGAAGCTTCTGGTGACATGCAGCAGGCTAGAAAGATGATATATAAATAAATCAGATGCACGGAACTCTAAAGAACCTAGTGATTTGGAGCAAATATAGTACCTTTCCATCATATTCTCGCCTAGAAAGAACCTCTGGTGCTATGTAAGCCGGTGTTCCAACCGTTGATTTGGGTTGTGAATGCAGCAAAGAAGACTACACCACAAATAAGAAACACTCAAACAACTAAAACAGTAACCTACATATTATTCAGAACTTTAAGCTTGATGGTGTTTATTCTAATACCTTGGAATAACCAAAGTCACAAATTTTTAAGCGTGGTGCAGGACTTCCATCTAAAAGGGTGTTTTCTAGCTTCAAATCTCTGTGGCATATTTGCTGCAAAAGAAGATTAAAAGCATAAGTCCTCACTTTGTGAATTTATGGAAGTGCCATGATTTTCAGCGAACTTGAGCATGAGTCTACCTTGGTATGACAGAAATGGACACCGGAGATCAGCTGCTGAAAGAAATATCTGGCCTGAACAATCAAAGATAAGTGAGACATGGAAGCAAATGTAAGGGAGTGAAGCAATCAAGCAATGGAGAAAAATCTGAGAGTATATGACGCTATTAACCTCATCTTCACTGAACCTGCCAGCACTGCATATCCTCTCGAAAAGCTCTCCTCCAGCTGCATACTCCATTACTATTGCTAAATGTGTGGGAGTCAAAACCACCTGCAAAATCAAAATCCATTCAAATAAGAACACATAATTTCATTATAAATAGTGCTCAATACAAAGTGATCCAACAGGATTAGTAAAAGAAGTAAAATCCTTGCCTCCTTGTAACGAATTATATTGGGATGCCGAAGAGACCTGTGGTTCATAATCTCCCTTGCCACGTTCTCATCAATCTGAAATTTGAAGGGGGGAAAAACAAACAAAAAAACTTACAATCACAAATGTTAAAACAGAAGCCTTTCATTTGTTTATTTTTTCAAAAGAGAGTAAACTTTAGGGGAAATAAATAGAAGCCTGTCTTCAATACTGCTTCAAGTGCTAATATATGAGTTCTTAACTTCTAAACACTTCCACCCATCTCTTTAACTGCTTAATAATCAAACATCAAGGGGTTTATAGTTGAATTTAAAGTGAGAATGAATATTTAAGCATTTTTATTTTTAACAAATGGGAACTCCCACCTCAGTGGATCCAAATAGAAAACACAATTGACATAAACCTAAATTGAAGGAAAGTTTGAATAAAAGAAGAAACCTTGGGGCCACGCTCGATGTATTTCATGGCTACGAGCTCCTTGGTGACCTTGTTCCTCATAAGCCTTGCCACCCCAAAATTGCCAGTACCCAGATCCTTGACAACCTCGTACTTGTCCATAGTAATTACCCACACCCACCAACCTTGAAAAAAAATAATAACTTGAACAAGGAGCGATTGATTGAGTGGACTCAATTCAACAGAATCATAGCACCAACATTCTATTCTCTGCAATTTGATCAAAAGGGTATCCAAAAAAGGGTCGCTTTCACGGAGAAAAACGCTTCTTGATGAATGGAGTGGTGAGTGGCTCTACCTCTTCGTTATGTGTTTGGTTATCTTTGTGAGCTGTGAGCGTTTTCTTATCTATTAATCATCAAATTTAGTAAAGAGGTTGATGAGCTCTGTGTGGATTGTGGAACAGTGGAAATAGCAGCGTTCATTGTTATTGGAATTTGGATCTCTTTAAAAACGCCCTTGCGGGGTTGGATAGAGAGACATTAGGCCTTCCATTGACTTCATTCATTTACGATCGTCTTTGCCTTACGAGTAGGATGAAAGTGGGCTGGCCAAACTTTCTTCCGAAAAGTTTCAGTTTGTGCTTACAAAAATTAATTTTACCTAACTCGAAAATATAGTATGAGTTTAACTGTTAATTTGTCTAAATTTATTTATAAAAAATAAATAAATGGTCTGACCTGGTCTGATTTATTAACTTTTTAATTTTTAATTTTCAAACAAAATATAAATTAATTTTATAAAATACTCAAATTTTGTTCTTAAAACAATAAATCACAATTTTAACGTTAAAACAAAATGATGAATACAATAACAAATTACCACAATCTGCATTTAAGTCACTCTCATAAGCAAGATACCTAAAATAAATAATATATATTTCATCATATCCAACAAATCAGTCCATATTCTATAAATTAAACTAACTGCATGAATCCAACAAATGCATCATGATACTTGTAAATTGTAACAGCCAAAAACTTTTCATCATCTTCTCTCCCTTACAAATACAGTTCTAAAGTTACACAAGTTGGCAAACAATTTTTAAATGTAGAAAACAAAAAACAAGATTAAAGAATAGAAAATAAGATTAGAAATAAAAAAACTTTTTTATACCTTTTGTTATTTTTTCTTCAAGCCATACTTATTATGTTGTCAATCTCCACCATATATTAAAGTTTGGATTGTATCTTCAACCAAGTTAAAACGATAGGCATTAATAACTCTTCCTCCAGCATTAAATGTTCATTTTGATGTTACTGTAAAGATTGATACAAATATTCTATGAAGCACCGACACTTCAAAAACTCTGACGTGTCGTGTCCGACACTCCCGACACTTCAACACGCGTTATAGAAATTCAAAAAAAGGTTCAAAGGTTTCCTTGTGTTGAGTTTTTAGTTCCAACTATTAGATTTGTTGGATTACGATTATCATTTTATTGAGTTTAATATAAATATTTGGGATATCTTATGTTTCCTTGCAAAATTGATAAATATCATAAGTTTAGTTTCATTTTTTTGTTAAATTATTGAATATTAAATATAATATACACTACACAAATTAAAAATAATATTTAATATCAAAACATGTCCTAACGTGTCGAAATCTAACATTTTTTAGAATTAACGTGTCAGAGTGTCGTGTCGTATCGTATCACGTGTCCAGTGTCAGTATCGGTGCTACACAGCAAATATTATGCCACTCCCAAAGGTAGTATTGATTGGGGATCGAACCCAGGCCCTTCTATCACTTACTCAGCTCACATACACCAACTGAACTATCATCATTTGGTACTACATGAATAATATTATTTAATTTAATTTAAAATAAATAATATGTTATTACTAAAAATAAATAAATAAATAATATGATATAAGTCGGCATGTAGGCTTATAAGTCTAGCATATAAAAATAAGCCTATGGCCTGTTTTCTAAATAGATTTTTTTAAAAGCTCAGACTTGTTCTATTTGATTATATGTAATAAGCCAAGTCTGACTTGATATAGGTTAGGTTCTAAGTCCCTGTACGCCGATCTAGCCCACTTTCACCTCTACTTACAAGTCTTTCAAGATATTTACTAAACTAGCAACTTTGTTCTGGATTATAAATTATTTATAAAACTTATATTAATTTTAGGTAAAAGAATTCTCCTGTCAATGGAGATAAGTTATCTCTGGTGAGTCTAAAATTACGTCATTTTAGAGCGAAAATTAAGGTTTTTTTGGAATTCTAATATAACAGGGTTATAATAATCTTTATCATTATAATTTTTTAATCTTATAATCCAAAACGATGTTATTTTGAGCTCATTGGAGATAATTTTTATTTCTGGTGACTGAAGAAATACTTTTCTCATTAATTTTATGCTTATGTTTCAGTTTTTTTATTTAAAAAAATAAAATAAGTTGTATGTTATATAATTTGGGGCATGTTATATTTACAAATTTTTTTGTTTACAAACTTACACTAAGTACGACCGATCGTACTTTAATCATGCAGTGTACGACCAGTCGTACTTAGTGTAATTTGTAAAAAAAAATTTGTAAACGGATCCTATTCCATATAATTTTTATAATTTATTTTTTGGAGTTTTTTTTATTAGAACATTGTGTCACTCCATTCTCGAAGTTAGATGAAGACCCATAACAATTCCCATACAACTTAGCTTGGAGAAGGAGCACTACACACTCCAAGGTGATAAGGACAAAACCTTTCGCAACCCATAGCCATAAATGAGTACTTTTATCTTCAAAACTATCTTTTATGGTTTTGATTCCTCAATTAATCTGATATATAAATTATTAATATAGACAGATAATACTTAATTACATCATTTCTATAAGTGAATAAATCAGTTGGACAAATAATTAATAATTTCGTGGTCAACTATATATATAAATAAGTGATTAATTTTTTGGGTAATTAGAATATGTTACCTTATACTTTAGGAGTAGGATAGTACGAGTCATTTATTTATGATATACACTAAACAATAGGAAGTCACGAATTACAACCATAATTTTCAATTTTTTTTTTTTGATACATTTCAACTTTTTTTTTCTATTACATGGGGATGGAGTTTAAAATTTTATATGAATTCTTTTTTCAATAAATTTTAATCTATTATGAATGTAAACTTTTTTAATCCATTTGATTTATATCCTTAAAAAATATTTTAACATTTTATGTAGTTGTTTTTTTGAAAATATTATAATCGGTTCATTGCTTTGTAACTAATCCGATTCGGTGCGGGTCAAGGATTAAGGCTTTAAATCTTTCCCAAATGTGGTACTGGGGAGATTCGAAACATTTTATGTAGTTAATACTATAACATTTTATAGGATCATGATATATAATTAGATAATTGTGTAAGAAATTACATTAATATCTGATCAAATAAATTCATATAAGCCTCAGGATTTAGAAATTCTACAGTAAGTGTAAGATTGAAACATTCCTGCTATCATCGGAATAAAAATATAATTCTATATTTTATTTAATGTAATTTTATTAAATAAGTATTTATATTTTGTATCTGATTGTTTATAAAAAAAATTAAATAAAATAGTTAAGTAAAAGCATAATTCATGATCAATCTTTTTTTTTTTTTTTGGATAACACATGATCAATCTTTTATTAGTTATGCATGCTAAAAAATAATTTGATTCATTTTTTTTTTTTAATTTAGTGATATCAGGATTGTGACGTATAACGTATAAGTCACTTGTATAAAAAAATTTCACGGCTACTATTAATAGTTCATATTTTTATATTCACTAAGACCAAGTAAACCTTTAGGTGGTGTTTGGTTGAAAGCTTTTTAGGAGATATCTATCTTTCTCAAGTATGGCTTTTAGAAACACCATGTTTGTTTCAAAGTTTTTCACCAAAAATCCATTTATCCAATTTGTCTGGATTTATGAGAAACATAGATATCCGCACTGTTTAGAAACCCAATTTGAAGGTGGGATTTTTCGGAAAACCGGTTATCTGGCTTTTAATGCACTGTTGATTTCATAAAGTTACATAATTTTCCCAGTAAAGTTTTTCTCCACCAAACAACTTTTTTTTACATTTTTCTAGCTATCTCAATTTATCTATCTTTCCAATCATTTTTCTATCTATCTCATTTCCCTACTTTTCTAAAAAAAATTCCTCAACCAAACGTCCTACGGCTTTATGCTCTATTTAGTCTTTGAAATTAAAAAAATAGAAAAATATTGTGTGATCGGTACCATATTTCACTTTGAAATTAGAAATGACATGTTATTTTCTAATTGAATATTTACTATTATTAAAATAATTAAATAATGAGTAAATTCATAAATCGATTTTCAATCAAAGTATTGCAATATTAGTCGTCCAAAATTTTTATTAATACATCAATTTATATTTGTACAGGTGGCGGCCTGAAAAAATAAATTTAATAACTATTTTGCGTATCAAAGGATTAACTTATATCTGTATAAATTTTATATTAATTATTTGTGATCCCATTTACATCCGATAGTTTTAATTTATCAGTCAGATAAATCGTTAAAAGCAAGTTGAATTAACAATTCATAATGAATATAAAACTTGTTAAATTTATATTGGTGTAAACTATTCCTCCCCTTTCATATAGTTGACGAATTAATTTGGTGATAAAAATCCTTAAAATATTAAAATAGTGATATATACGTTTATTTTTAGGGGACCAATTTAAGAATTTACTTTAAAATAAATATATAAAAATTATATTAAAACATAAGATCAAATTATAATATATTCTACTAAAGTATTAAAACTGTTTTATTTAAATTTAAACTATTAAATCTTTAACAAGGTATGAATTTCAACCACAAAAAATCATCAAATTACATTATGGCCAATCCAAAATAACTTATTTCATATTTTTAAATAATAACGGATTTTTTTCTGACATATAAGTTTTGTAAATCAAAATTAAAAAGAAAAAGACATAGATATAACTTCACTAAAAAACAAAAAAAAACAAAAATAATTCTTAATAGTAATTCAAGCAAGAGTAAAACCCATTCGTCTAAAGTTGAAGCTTATGCGGATATCAGAGGGAGTCAATTCATCTCAAAGAAGTAATTACTAATTAGGGTTGGGTAACTCCAAAAAAAATAAATCCATTAATCTAATGAGGTTTAAATAAAATAAATAAAAAAACACGCTGACTAACATGCATATTGTGATTGGTTTTCGGTTTAAAATTATAAAATTACAATTTTAAATAAAATGGAAGAGATTATATTTACTATTAAGTAAGTTTATTATCTCTTACTATTTTCTTTCGTTACTGTTGAATTAAGATAAAATCAATGATTATCATTCAATATTTTTTTTTTTCTTCAATCACTCTCTTCATTCCCTTTTTCATATTTATCTTTTTATCATGTTTGGTTGCCACTATCTAACAATCATAAAAGGTGTACTAAGAAGTGATAAGAGCAATTAGTGTAACGCCCTCCCTTGTATGCATCCAAGAGAGTTGTTTGCTAAGCGGATTAGAGTTCTTA